AAACCAGCATATTGTGCACTTTATTCCTTGTAGTTTCCTGTTGCCGCGCTCAGTGTGGACCGAATGAGTTCTAATTAATGTTGATTTTGTCCTTTTTATGTTTATTGTTGTATTCATTCGGCCTTATTAAGTTTTATTTAATTTTTAAGTTGAATTATGCTTTCATATATAGCAATTTATTTTAGGATTACATCGTTTATACTTGTGATTAACGATTGATTTTTTTGTATATTAATTAATAAAAACCCGTAACATTAACGTCACACGACCTATGGTTTTCTATCAAAAAACAGCCTCAAGCTCGTCGTCCAATGCAACGCTGTGAAAGCATAGAGTTTCAATAAAATTAAATCTTAATAACCTTTTACAGTAATTTTATTTGACTTAATCTCCATGTCTAATAAAAAAATGTATATGACTTAACCTCTGATAGCGCTACACTCGATGAAGAGATGGAAGCTGTTTTTATAACAGATTAACACTGCAGGGCTTTAATATATGATTTTCGATTGAAGATATTTGGGAGTATACACTGTTACTAGTATTTAGTTGGGAGAAGTGACGTAGCTAACATTTACTGTGAAAAAAACTACTATTTTCCTTAGACGCTTATTTTATTAGTTTAACATTGAAGAATTGAGTTAACTGCATACATAGATGTAAGTGTTCTCTACATTAATACAGTAATACATGGAGATTAAAAAATAGATACAGAACGACGGCGAAGCGCCAATCACATACCAATAACTCCTGACTTACATTTTCCGATATATTTTCTTTTTTTTAAAGATGTTATTTTAAACTCTAACGTTAACATTTTTTTTTGCAATTTAGAGGCTTTTTTTGCATAAAATCAGGTATGGTTTCGAATCCGAAATATTCGATAAGCAAATCATAGATACTGTCTTTATTCTATGATATATACCACCAACACCTTACAACTAGCAGCGTTAGATAAACACAGGATCATATTACTATAAGGAACAGTTGTGTAAACAAGTTTATCATGTTCCATCGCTACCGTTATTTTGGGAGAGTTTTTTGAGAAAGGACATTGCGTAAAACCTTCTTTTTAAACGTTATTATAATCTCCTTAATTTATAAAATTCCTTTGTCTAATTCAAAACATACACAGCGTTCCGGTTTGCAATTATTATCAATTATTTAGTTCAAATTTTGAGACATACCTACATATAAAATATAATTATTTTGTTTGCTTTATATTGCTTATTACATACGGACTACAAGAACCATAACAACTATGTACATATTGTCTATGCAATAGGTACTGTGGTAAAATAAGTAATAAGTTTTAATATGCTACCAGAAAATTTCTATGTGTGCTGGTCATACAATTACAAAGCACTTAAATGTTAAGTTAACAAAACTAAACGATTTGCCTATTTTTGTTCAAATTGATTGAAGGTTTCGTTCACGTTAAGTCGCAGTCGCAATTTTTGCACTCATGTCATATAATTTTGTTTTCCTTTAACCGACTTCGAAATCGTAAAGAAGGAGGTCAAATGTTCGACGGGTATGTGTATTTTTGTAGAGGTACCAAGAATTTTAACTATATAGCAACTATATCGTGCAAATAAAAAAGATCGCCGGGACTTTCGTTAACATCAGTTCATTTTATAAAAATACAAATAAAGTTAATAAAACTTATTTAGCTATAAAATACAAATTGGAACGCTTAATTTTTCAAAAATCTGCTAGTGAAATCAAACGCTTCAGAAGACTTCTGCCCGACCGAGTATTTGTCATGTTGGTGATTTTAAAATGCGTAAATAAATATAACTACTGTTGAAATTGTTGTCAGCTCATATACCTAGTTAGTAGACACAGTTGTTGACTGACAAACGGAATACAGCTGAAAACGCTCAACAGATCAATCCATGTAACGAATACGCGTGTGTAACCGATCTACCGAATCAAAAACATCTTCGCAAACACAAGCTCGGGTTACAGCGGAGATAGCTCACTCTCTAATAAGACGTATTTGGAACATTTGGCTGACATTTAAAAAATAAGGACTTACGGGTGTTCAAACGCTGAGGGGAAATCGCGCGAAGTAAGAAAAAGCGTGTTAAAGAAATGGTCCCGCGACGAAAAATGACATTTGCTTTTTTTTAAAATGACATTTTGAAAATGGGTTCACATAAAAATTTACTTTAGTTTAGGTACCTATATAACTTATGGTTTTTAATTTCAAATGTCATGAACAAAATTTTAAAAAGCTTAAAATAAAGTTTATTGAGTGTAACAAAAAGTAGACTCTATAATTATTTTTAAGATACAATGCGCAAGTAATATATATAAATAAAAATACCGATTCACAAACACCACACACAACAGAACAGACAGCAGACAGCAATAATACAAAAAAGAGAGAAACTAACATAAAATTTATATTAAAATATACTTATATAAACCAAATCTAAAGAGGCTGGCAAAAATGTCGTCAACAATGAGTTTAATTCTTTGTAAAAAAAATGAAATATTATCGTATTTTATATGTAAAATTATTCTTGTTACTACTTGCAAAAAGGGGTAAGGCTAGGATACTTACATACATTTTATCTCCCCTCGTATTTAACTAGTACGCAGACGAAATCTTCCGAGTGGCCAATGTTGCATCAGCCCGGAATGATGAGCAATAACAAATAGAGAGTTAGTTCTTCAGCTCATAATAAAAAATAAATATACGGGGAAACGCAGTACTGGAAGAAAGCGACATTCCAAGAAAACTAAGGATTAATTTGGACGGAACACTACATCTCTGTTCCGAGCAGTAAAGATAGATAGTCATGATGTTGTCCAACCTTTGATAAAAGTGGCATATAAAGAAGACTAGCCAAAACCTCATAATAATAATGGAATCATTATTTATGTATTATTTCATACTTGTTCGCGTACCTACCTACTAGCCTTGAAGACGTAGAAAAAAGGAATTTTTAATGTGCACTTTTATAACTATTCAAGTGCATTATTACCATAATAAAAAAGTATTTTTAAGTGATATTCAGAAAATCTTCGTAGGAAATGGTTGATATATTCACAATAGGAAAGTTCCTCGTGCACCTTTGATTTTTCAATGGTTCATTTGTGAATCAGTGAGTCGTGAGTAACATTTCGATGACACTTGACGAGACGTATGCGCTTCCCACGACCGCACTGACTCCTGCGCATTGCAGCGGAATGATCAGATTGATTTTTGAAATATACTGGACATAATATGTCTGTATACTGTATCTCTAATTATAAAACTTCTTTCTAAATAACGCCTAATCCTCTTTTATATCTGTTGATATTTTTCTTTGTTGGATGGTATTTTCATCAAAAATTGCATTAGCTAAGAAAAGAGGCTCCGCTAAACGATAAACGAACCCAACGCCTTGACAAACGATTTGGGATGTCGTAATCACATGGCATTTTCTTTGCTAAATAATGTAAAAGATGAAACTTCAAGAATTATGGTTTGCAGAACATATCAATGATTAAAAATTTGCTGTTTTTGCGCGTAAACTTTGTCACTCGTTTAATAATTTTTTAAACGTAGTTCAGAACCTATTAATTGCAAACATCTTTTTTTTAGGGTACGCAGCGCCATCTGGCATCAAGTAGCATGAATGTATAATACCATCTAGTGAGCGGTGGCTAAATTGAAGGACTGCTCTATCTCAGTGTCACTCGAGTCGAAGAGAAATTATCGTTTGTATGATAGATGGCACATTATTGAATAGAAACTGGAAAATCGGATAAAATTATCAAAAGTATTTATGTTATGTATGTTTAAAAAATAAATTATATTTATTATTACAGGTCGGTTGTTTTGTGTATATGGCAAGCCTGCACGTCAATATAGGCAAATGGTGCTTGCTTGTATTGGGGGAGCGGCATGGCGTGGCAAGGCTGATAATGTTGCTCTAATTAATTTGAACATTAATAATGCAAAAAGGTCACTAGTTATTTGTACCTCCATACTTAATAAAGAGTTTTAAATACATATTAAGGAGCTTAAAATGACACTTTTTAATCGTTACCAGACACATCGCTCATATCAGTTTACTTACTTATTACATATTTTTATTTTGTTGTGATTTTTTTATGAGCGCTGTCCAATGTTTTGCCGAAGGCGCAAAATGCAGTGTTGTGTTCAAAGCACCAAGTTTCATTAGCCCGAGCTGCGTATATCTCAGACATATAAGACTTAGATGTCTGTAGCGTATTATGTCAAAGCGTGATAAATTATACCAACCAAAGACTAAACAAACTACTTACCGTAGAGTCGGTTGATCGAAATAAATAATTACATAGGTAAAACAGTTATTATTTATTTGTTATTTCTAGTCACATATAATATTTAAATGTTTATTTAACATTTCTGAAATTCATGGCCGTGGGAAATTAATGGAATTCATAAGAAAAAACCCAAATTCAATGAGAGTTTTATTATACCATGGACGATTATAGGCCCATGTCAATACTAATATTAACATGTAATTGCTTGTTTGATTGCATCGAATAGGCTCCGAAACAACTGGAGCGTAAATTTAAATATTCTTTCACATACTTTAAATTGAAGTGGGCGAAACCGCGGAAAAACGGCTAGTTTTAGATATTTAGAAGAGACCTATATATTTATCTTTCAACGCGATCAACAACTCTTGGTGTTGTTTTCAAATTGAAAATACCTATATTGAAATTGAAAAAACAATACCTGAGAAATGTACCCATAATATTTTTGGGTATAGTAGAAATATTGCTTTGTTTAATATTCAGTGTTATTATCAATAAAATGGTTCATCAGACATCATAATTAGTTTCAGTTCTCCAAGTTATTAGTATTTGTCTTCATTTAACGATTCAATGAATTGGCCGGCTGGACGTTGATAAAGCATTGTCGTAGAGCACCTATTATTTTATCTGTATGAAAAATACCTGTGTTTGGCTACAAACACCTGCACAAATACCACAAGGAACACAAAACACTTGGTGCATAACAATAAATTTAATATGCAAAATTAAATACATAAAAGCAATATATTACACAAAATTTTGATATTTAAATATCTATTCCTAGTTTTAAAATAGTAACTAATTAATATTACAGTCATGGGGAAATAGATAGGTATCTATAAACATTATAAATATAAAATGGCACTTCTTAAAACAATTTAAAAAACAAAAATTCATTTGTGTCACACACACATGCATCAATCAGCAATAAATGAATTTGTTTTACATTGAATCTATTGTGTATCACAAAATGTGGACATGACCAAAATAGATTACCAATACAATATTTGAGTATATTATATAATATGCAATAGCTGGAAAGAGGCACTGAACAGACAGACAAACACCTTTTCAGGGAAAGCTGCCAGCACCATAACACACCTATCAAACATACTACAAGGGACTACAAGTATTATTTTTATTATAATCCAAAAACCAGTTTATATGCATGATTCCCAAATGATACTATCTAATTACAGTCTTTACTATTACAATCATTGCGATGTGTTAACAGAAAAATTTCTTATGTTTTATCGGTAGATAGTCCTCATCGCTATCTGAAAAACATGCTGTGAAACCACTTTTATCTCTCAGAGATCCTCTGTGTTCATTTCTGTTTTTCTTCTTAGCACTATCTAATGCTTTTGTTAGCATACAACCCCTTCTTTTAGATCTGCTCCCTGTTCGAACATTAGGTGATGCAACATTAATACTAGTTAAAGAGCTCACTGGATCTACAGAATTGCTGAGAACTAACACAGAGTTCTCAGGTTGTCTTAGCATGAGACCAATACACTTGCCGCTCCTCGTTCTTGACACCATATTTTCTACTGGATTCTCTTTACGATCTGAATCATTAAAATCATTTGTGTTTTTATCGACTCTATTATCTACCACCAGTGAACATTTTTTTGTATAGTTAATTGGAGACATACCGTCAGCTAAACTGTTCTTGTGCCTAATAGGATATCTTGATGTGATACTACTTTTGGAATTAAATGAAACATTGATGTTGTTCGATGCTATCCCCTTGTCATCCATATTATTGGAAGATTTATTATTTCCATTTCTTGCATCCATGAATTTCAATAGAGATGTGCTTCTACTTACCTTTGTAGATTTGTCATTGTTTTTTAGCGTCACCAAATTCAAAACATTTTGGGATGAATCCATACTGGAATTCATTAAGGGAGCTTTGGACATTCCAGTATTCACAGATTTATTTAAACAAATTATCAATGAATTGTCATGTTTTTTACCTATGTCTTGTGATGCTTTCATTAAATTTCTGCCTCGTTTGCTGCTTGTAATCCTCAATTTTTTAGAAGAATGTATTTTGGTAGATCGTATATAATTAGCAGTAAAACCAGACACATCGCTCATATCATCTAATTGACCGTTATTTGATCTGATTAGTTTAGCTGTTTTATTGAATTTTTGCTTTGGACTACTTTGATCCCCACTAGTGAATATTGCAGAGGATTTTTTAGCCTTAGGTGCGCTTTCTTTTCCAGAATCAATGTTGTTAGTATTATTACTATTGATTATTTCACAATTAAACACTTCAAATGAGTCATTAAGATGACTGTTGTTTTTAATATTCCTCTGTGTTTTACGTAAGCTTCTCCTCAAAGTGCCTGCTGCTTTAGGAGTGGAAGTTGCAATTTTATTTCTCTTATGTACAGTTGTTCTATTAGATTTATTCAGTTTAGCTCTTTTTGATTTATTTCTCATTGATGGACTTTTAATATTGAAATCTAAATCAGACCCAAAGGTATCAGATTTACAGCTGTCCAACACTATAGGCTGAGTCTTATTTTGAGAAGAATCAAAATATACATTTTGTTGTTTTCCTGTAGATACAGATTCATCATCGAGCAAAGACAACTTTCGTTTCTTTTTCTTCTTGGGGGAGATCCCTAATAGCATACTTTGAACACTTTTGGGTTTGGAGCGTTGTGCTTGTTCACATTGTCTTTTTATCACATTGTCATAGTTATATAGGCAAGGTGCTTGTTTGGTGGTGATCCAAAATGATATTTCTTCCATGTTGCTTATAAAGGGAAGATCAGTGGTGACATGGCTAGGGTATGCTGTGGAGGGCCGGGGTGGCGTAACCGCGTCGGGGCTGAGTGTCGGAACAGGCTCGCGAGACACTGGAAGGGTGTCGTCCATCCACAAAGAGCTTGCACCGTCAGATCCGAACTCTTGTCCGATATTAGGTACTGACGGTCATGGCAAATCATCACACTTTCATCCATTTTTCAATATCTCGCATGACGTAGGCCTGAAAGGGCGTGGAAACTCATTACACTGTATATTGTTAAATAACCTTTCGAAATGAAAAAGGTACCAAAAAATCAAACGAATTGGCATTTCTATGTTTTCAAAATAATTTAACATATATGAAATAAAGATATATTAATGACGCACCTTCGAAAATAAGTACAATTCTTTGTTTCAAGTTAATATATCAAGTTAGAAAAAAAACAGTCAATCGAGATGAGACAACCGCCAGCCACTCTGTCGCGAAATATTTTTTTTTAACGCTTGCTTTATGTTCATGAGTGGAGCAATAATCTTTTTCTAAATATTAGAAAGCACTATCAAAAATAAGAACAAACATCTATAGCGGTAACTGTAAGCAGAAATAAAATATATTTATGACAAATTAATAGCAATCAAATTCTAGTATCTGTAGAGAGTAGAGATCACAGACTAGTAAGGAGATCACTGACTAGTAAGGAGATACTACATCATATCATGATCATATCAAAGATTTCATTTTTTTTATACTTTTCACCTTTTTCAGGGTAGGCAATCAGAGATTACAAATTTTAAACTGGAAACTTCATATCGCCGCTGGAAAGCAAACACATAGTAACCCTCAAAACCAAAATTGTTCTTTAGTGCTCTAAAGAACAATTTTGGTTTTGAGGGTGAAAAACTTATATTTTTTTCGATAAGTAATTCCTATAAACATCCATGGTAACAATTAAGGTGTTCCTTAGTCTTTTTTTTTTTTCATTGATATTATCCATTTTAATTTTGCACGTTACTACGTGTTTGCTGTCCAGTGTTGATATGTAGAGATGTGCTGATTATAATTTTAAGCCAAATATTAGTTTTGATATTAGATATTAGTAGAGATGTGCTGATTATAATTTTAAGCCAAATATTAGTTTTGAACAGCCATCATAGGCAAAAGAAATAAGTGGTTAGCTTATCATTTAGTAGTTAAGCAATGCTTTGTAATTTTTATTTGGATTTCATTTTCATTGTCAAATATTTATAAGAAACATAATTATACTTCCGTACAACAAGTTTACTTCCATTATCTTAGTTTCACAATGAGCAAGTATTTAAAAAAAAAACTTTGGTTCCCGAAATTTAACTAGATGTCGCTACGGTACGTTCTTGATTTCTCCATAAAAACCCTTCCGGTGTTTTTCTATGTTTAAAAGTAAATTAGCTTTCAAACTTAATAAACAACTCATATTCTATTTGTAATTTTTCGTATTTGTATTAATATCTAAGTTTGGAACTTTTCAAATTTCAGTTTTTTTAATATATTAGTTAAAAGAAACAGAAATGACTGACTTTGGTCCATTAATTTCCTACAAAAATCAACTTTTGCTAGAGCCGCCATCTAGTGAAGGTGCTTTACTAGTGCTTTCGTTTTTTTTAAATACTTCTACATTCACTTCAACATGCGGTATCCACTTACTACCACGAATTGGTAATATCGTTTCGTGGCATAAGTGAACTAAGTTTCAAAATGACATAGGAATGGAATATCTGAGACACGTTTATTCAATCAATTTCGTTTTGTATTTCTATACAAAAATGGAATCAATAGAATTTGTACTAAGTGACGTGAATTCGGACACATGAGTAAATTCTAATTCAGGTTTGGATTTATAATAGAATCGCAGAGCAAATATCGGGATTTTGACATCGTGACATTAAGTGATTTGTAGTAATAAATAATAGATAAGTGATTGTGAAATGAAATCGATGTATATAATCGTAATAAGAAAGATATCGTTGCATTCTTAATATTAATACGGAGACTATAATCTTTCCTACAATTTAATGTCTTTTTGACAGTTACTCTAGAACGTAACTGTTCAGTAATTCGTAAAAATAAACTTTACAATTCGTGACATTAAAAATATAAAAAGTATTTAATTATATGTCTCTAGCTTACTTATTCCCCAATACAAATTACGTACTATGGCAATTAGTGGTGGAATCGAATGTATTCGCTCAAAATTGATTAATCGAAAGAAATCGTTTAGAAAAAATAATTACAGTTTTGATTACTAATCAATTTGTGGGGTAATTTTACTATCTAGAAACATCGATTAGGCAGGCCACGATTTTTTTAGAGTGACTAAGTCGAAGTGATATTAAGCTCGAAGAAAGGTTTAGCAAAAGAGGTGGGAAATGAAATAACACATGCTCAAAAGTCCAAATAGCCAAAGCCATAATACCTTTATACAAAAAAAAATAGTCTACGACGCCATTTTATTGTCTGTCACTCGCAACGAGACTCCCATGCTGTCACTTCGTATCCGTTCGCTGACTTCACATTAGCATTTTTCTTACGTCGAGTTGAGTTTATTTATATTCCTCCGTATTAAATTGTGGATACTTACGTTCCCCGTAAGCTTTATATTTGCAAGATGCCGAAAGGTAAAGTGCTTAAAGGACAATCGAGAGAGTTTGTGTTGCGGCTTCGTGACTAATTTGAAAAAGAAAGTCTTAACTCTTATACCAGTAACGCATGTTAGAGACCGTTTTGCAGCAGCTTTAGGTATTTGCGTTACAACAGTGATAAAAATAACTAAAGAAGGCTACGGTAGTTGTGGCATGGCAGAGAACAAACTTTTTACACCAAAAAAAATAAGGTCACCTTTTAATGTGACAGCAGTTGACAGTTTTGACGCTGATGCTATTCGTCGTCATGTATACAATTATTATGTACGAAAAGAGATACCAACTTTAAAAAAACTGGTACAATCTCTACGAGATAGTGGTTTGTTCCACGGTCAAAAATCTTCTTTGACGAAGGTGTTGAATCGAATTGGTTTTCATTTTAAAAAATGTAATAAAAATCAAAAATTGATGGAACGCCGTGAAATTGCTTTGGCTCGATGCGATTGTTTAAGAGAAGCAAAGAAAATAGAAGATTGGTCAAATGTTGTATTTACAGACGAAACTTGACTCAATGCGAATCATTCGCTGGCAAGAAGTTGGACTGACGACACTGCTACCTCCACGTCCGCAGTGCCAATGGGGAAAGGTGAACGCCTCATTATTTGCCATACGGGAACAGCAAGAGGATTACAATAGGCATGGACAGCTAATCACAAAAATAAACATTGTGTCAAATAAATCAGAAGAGTAAAATTGTTCCAAAAAGTATTTTATACATGAGTAAAAACTCCTTGCTCTAACACAGACGTTCTGTTAGCTTATAGGAGTTGAATGCGGAAGTGTATGAAAAGTGGTTCCGAGAGATGCTTTTATCTCTCCTAGAACCGTCGATAATATTTATTGACAATGCATCTTACCACTCTCGTCAAATTAATAAAATGCCAATGCAGGCCAACAGAAAACACGAGATCATAAACTGGCTTCGTGACAATGGGGAGGACGGGGACGAATCTCTACTAAAAATAGAATTGAAGGAAATATTAAAATCAAAAAAGTGGCCGAAATGATATGTTATCGACGAAAAGGCAGCAGAATATAGCATATCATACTAAGAATTTCCCCATACCACTGTCAATACAATGCCTTTGAGCTCATTTGTGCACAAATAAAAGGACACGCTGCTAGAAATAATACTACTGCTCCTTTCACTGCAAACAAAATGTTAGATTTGTTAAAACATATGTGTGCTAATGTAACGCCTGAAAACTGGGCAAGCGTCGTTGAAAAAACGAAAAGAGAAATACTTTCGGATTGGGATCGTAATATTGCGTTCGATAATTTTTGTACTAAACAATTCGTCATTAATGTCAGTGATGATTCCAGTGACTATTCTAGTTCATATGAAGAAGAATCGGATGATTTAATGTAATAAAATTATATAAAATTAATTAACTTGTTTTATTCCATTTACTTATAGATTCAAGCATATTAATGCCCAAAGGCGTTATATAAAGTGACTTTAATTTACGTGGTGTTTTAAAAATATACCAGTTTTTTTTTTTTTAGAAAAGACGTAATGTTATGCATAAATAAAATACAATTAAAACTTCTTCATAAATAAAATCTATTACTAAGATAAATCGAATTGGTAATGCATTAGTACATCACTATTTGATCAGTACTCGAATTGTCAAAAAGATATTAAATGGTTGGAAATATTATAATACTAGATGACGAATAATAATAAAGACAGAAGAAGGTGCGGCCAAAAGTTACTTTTCATTTAAAAGCAAATAATTTATTATGATTTTATAACTAATTCAGTTAACTTATATTGGCCAAATCCCTTTGCCTTTACTAAAAAAGGGGTACCTTTTTTCGCGCTCTCAGAAATGTCAAAATATTGACAATAAACACAACTGTCTGATTGTTCGGAGCCGACCGCTGCCTGAATACTAGAAAAATCTAGAGTTCTACATAAGTTTTACGATCGAATTTTTACGGTTTGTGTGTGAAATGTTCGAATCTGAATTATGAATGACATCCAGTGCCTCATCGATCGCCAGCTAGGCATTTGTAAGTATTAAAATTATTAAAATATGGTATCGAACATCTCGAAACATGACGATCACTAATTTCTTGGCTCCATGGCAAGTAACAGTAAATAATTAAAGATTCTTTATTCCGTACTTTAGACTGCCGGCTTAACTACGACAACATCTTAAAGCGTCTCGTAGTCAACAGTGATGAATCGTTTTATGGGCTACAGAGCTCGTCGATCGCCGCTTTCGACCAGGACCCGCCGATATTCGCTTGCCGCTTCTCGGAGGCTCCTGGCTACGAGCACATTCTCGCACTTGCTAATGAAGATGGCAGGGTTGCCATTCAGGCTAGTAATTACCTTAATTTGAATATACATTTAATAGGTTGTGAATTTTATTTTAGTGATCAGGCTCAGAGTGTTAATGAGTTACTACATTCGTCTGTACAGCGATTAGTTGGGAACAGTATTAAAAAGGACTCAATTTTTTTGTATCTAATTTTTTTTTAAAGATATGGAAGAAGTAGCCATTTTATTTTAACTTACACCCTCCATACGCTGCCATGACATGCTTACTTATGTTTTGGTTACAGTTAAGTTAGACCTAACTGATTGATTGTTTTTTTCCGGAGTTTACTTTTCTTTGTCAAACAATCTATACATAGAAATACTTTGTTACACTGACAAGCATTAAAGTTTTGTATTATATATAAAAATAAATGATTTTCTACAAATAATATTATTTTAACTTTATCAAATACCTACTATTATTGTCAGTTACCAACTTATTTTCATTTCATTAGTTACTTTCATAGTTCATTAGTTAATCAATTTCTATTTTGTTATTGGAGGTAAGAAACATTTACCATATAGAAAGTAGCATTATGTTAAAAGACACTATTTTCATTATATATATTATTGTATAATATAAATTATTGACCACCTCGATTGTTCACTCTACCACCTTTTAAATCCACATGACCCATCCGGTTGACTGGTAGAAAGTGCCTAATGCATTAAGTCCACCAATGTACTCTGTGTATGAAGTGTTAATATAAATAAATAATAACTTGTGCTGTTTGTCCACAGAATACATCCACCATTGCCTCAGCACGTAACCTAGAGGGATTCCAGTGTCACAATAATGCCGTGTTCGATCTCGCTTGGATGCCAGGTCACATGAATTTTGTAACTGTGTCAGGTTAGTGGCTGGCTAATTCCAATATATGAAGTCTTGATAAATGTTTTCCAAAAATAATCTATAACAATTTATTTAAATAAACCAATCAATGCAGAAATTCTATCAAATTGTGATGTATAATTGATATTTTATTGTTTTTATAGTATTTATTTTATACACAAAATTCATACACAAATATAAATTGTTAGAATTTTGTAATCTGCACAATGAGCCATCTAGAATTTATAGTTGCTCAATTGTAGTAAAAGCGCAGTATAATACAGTAGCGTAACTTAGAAGAAACAGTCGAATTCATGTGCTCACTGAGATTTCTGCTTTTATGGGGATTCTAAGTGTGACACATAGTGTGCTTAGTTACCCTTGCCATGGCAAGACAACTAGACTAAAATTGATGTGTCTTATATGGATGTTGAAAATCTTTTTGCTTCTTTTTTTAATATGTAGCATTATTTTACTTGCATGTGTTATTATGGCAGTGAGTCGAAAGTTGCAAAATTTCTTAGTTGAATCCTTTTGAAAAGGTATGAACACAGTGTGAGCCCATTGTTAAGGCCATTTGCCTGTGAGCCATATCCTGTTGCAGATGGTGTAGATGTGAATGCCATATTCACCCACTACTTGAAATGTTTAGATTGGAATTTCATCTCTCCCTGTGTCTTTCCCATTAAGATGTTCTTTTAGCTGTTCTTTTAGCTGACAAGAAGAACAAGCAAAAGAAACTTACCAGCTCTTTATCATAAGTAATGACATTTACATAAATCATATCATTACCAAATAGTACATATTATAAAAATAATAAATACAACTTTCAAAGTCTGTCGGACATAGGTTGATACATATAATTAGTTGTTATAGAACAAAGCGAAGGCTATTAATTCCATGCATTTTGGTCCTTAACTTAATCATCAACTTAAAATAGCCTTTACTTATAAGTATGTTCTTTACATGAATTTTAAATTTATTTATGGGTAGGTCAATTACATTCTGTGGAACTTTATGGAACATAGCAATGCATTTACCCAGAAATGATCCTCTGGTTTTTTGAAGTCTGAAGCTTGGAACAGGAAGTTTATTTTTATTTCTTCTGTTAAGATTATGAACACTACTTTTTCGTGAAGGAATCGTAATGTTTTCTTGTGTACATAGTACAATTGCATAGATGTATTGAGAGGCAACAGTCAATTTTTTTTTTTTAACTGAGAGATTCCCTAGGCCGTAAATTATATATAGCGCAGACAGCTCTCGTTTGTAGAATAAAAATATCTTTAATGCTAGCCGCAGAACCCCACTACAATATATCTCTGATTCAAGGATATCATGCTCCATTTTATCACTTGTAGGTGCTGTGGAAACAAAATTTTGCAATGAGGATCAGTCAAAAAAAGAAGTGACAGTAGTTCTTTGTGACTATTTGACTGTTATGTATGATCTTCAATAGCCCAAGTTTTAGACGGCAGCGTTTTTTTAATGATACGGATCTGGTGGTTCAAGTCTCTACTCATACATGTGTGCGAGCGCCTCGATTCTGTAAAGATGTTGCGTAGGCGTTCAATATGATAGTTTTTTTGTATTCTTAATACAAAATACTTAAAAAATCCACTCGGTCCCTGGCACCCTGAGATGGGAATCGAACCCACGACCTTTCGCTATCCGGGCGACTGCTCTGACCGTTGAGCTACCAGGTATTTTTGTAGGTTCCAATTGGTGGTGTTTTCTTCGAAACTGTCAAAACGATGAATGATTTACCTCGGTCCCATAGTGCGTTTGGTGTTTCGTTCAGCTTCTGATCATTGTGACCAATTTCGTTTCACAATTGAACGAAATTTCAAAGCATCTTTCACTTCGGAACTGTAAATATTGCTGTGAATCTTGGTTTCAAGTTTGGCAATTTTTTTTTGTGAATTTTCATTATTATGATGTTTTCATTCCTATTTTTGTTTCTACTTAGTACTTATATAATAAAATAAAAGTAATTTCAAATTCAACATATTAAAAAATTATATAAATTTTACGTAATACTCCTATTTAATCTCCATTTTGCAAGTGCTGCGAGCAATGTTTCCAGCTAAATTTCCAGTCCTCGGCAGTGTACCCGGGCACGGTACATCATTATGTATAAGTAATAATGATCAATAATAATCTTTTAAAATGACAATGCTGTTTCATTACTATTATAGTTTTAATAAGAAGGCAACCCTAATGTTCCAATGTAGCGTAGGTATTTCTTTTCTGAAATGGCTAAGTTTCGCTACTGTATTATAAAGTGGTAAACTTCAAGAATCTGAAACAAGTACCATCAACGAGGTTCTGGTTTTCTCGATAGATGAGCTTGTGCAAAAACAACATACATTTTGTTATTCAATAAAAAAAATACATTATATTTTTTACAGAATATTGAATTAGAATCCAATAAATATTTCATTTCTCCTATTCTATTCTAAATATTTAGTCTCCAGCATTAAAATATGATTTATTATCTCATAACGTCTCACGTCCGTCTCGGAAGGGACGTTTAAAATGACAACATTTCTCAAAAGATGTTTAGTAAAATTCAAAAGATTCTGTAAGTATTTTCTGCATTCATAAATTTCACTAAAGGAATATTGAATAATTTTATATCATAGCGAAAAGTGAATCGTAAAGTACCACATAATAAAACATTTTTTGGAAAACAATCGATCTCAGTACGCAGAAGCCGAAGAACGCAGGGAACCGAGCTAAACAGATCGAACACGGCGAACGTATCGTCTACAGGCAGACGTACGGAGACTTCGTCGAACGTATATAAATAACAAGGATAAGAAAAGAGACGGAACTCCCTACGAAACGAATAAAACCGCAGTAACGGAACCCGGGTGCGTCTATCCTCAGGTGACCACACGGCGTGCCTCTGGGACGTCGCGGAAGGCGCCCCCAAGAGGATTCAGGTGTTCTCCGGCCACACGCGGTCGGTGAAGACGGCCGTGTTCCGCCCCCGCGAGCCCGACGTGTTCGCCACCGGCGCGCGCGACGGCCACGTGCTCGTGTGGGACGCGCGCGCCGCGCCGCAGCCCGCCGTCGTGCTGAAGCCCGACAACTGCCTGCTCAACTGCCACTCGGGCTTCGCCCCCAAGGCGCCCGGCTCCCACTCCAAGCGGCCGCGCCTCGACACGCAGCGCGCCGTCAGCATCACCGGCCTGGCCTTCCGCGACCGCGACACGCTCGTCTCGTGCGGCGAGTGCGACGGCAACATCAAGCTGTGGGACCTCAGGAAGAACTACTCGGTCCACCGGCGGGAGCCGCTGCCGAAGCGGTCGATCCCCTACTGCGGCGGCTCCGCCAAGAACGGGTACACGAACCTGATCGTCGACGACGCCGGCCTGCGGCTGTACGCGAGCTGCATGGACGACGTCGTCTACTGCTTCAACGTGTCCGCCCCCGGCCCGCTGCCCGAGCGCCGGTACGTCGGCCACGAGAACGGCACCTTCTACATCAAGACCGGCCTCAGCCCCGACGGGAACTACCTCGTCAGCGGCAGCAGCGACAAGAACGCCTATATATGGAACGTCAGGTGCTCGGAGCCGGTCGTCAAGCTGGTCGGGCACCGGGCCGAGGTTACGTGCGCCGCGTGGGCCCGCACCCCGGACCTCAAGCTCGTCACGTGCAGCGACGACGCGCGGCACAAGATCTGGCGCGTGGGGCCCGACCTGCTCGCGGGCCCCGACGCCGCGCGCGGGGGCCCCGACCTCGAGGGCCGCGCCGAGCCCGCGCCCCGCGGCCGCGCGCCGCCGCCGCTGCAGTGGGGCGCGCGCGACTCCACGCCCGGCGCGCGCAAGCGGCCCGCGCCCTCCCCGCCCCCCTCTGCCGCCAAGCGGCACAGGGACCTGGCCGCGGGCGGCCGCAAGACGAAGCGCTGCTTGACCGATCTGATGAACGCGGCCAAGGACGACGACCGGGACGGGCCGGCCAAGAGGCCGAGGGGGGAGGCGGCGGCGGGGGAGCCGGCGGCGGAGGAGCCGGGCCCCGCCGGCGACCCTCCGCCGAAGAACTACGAGAAGGTCGCGGGCGAGAAGCTCTCGCCGCGGAGTCCGAAAACCATCTCGCCGAAACGATCCCCCCCGTCCCCGTCTCGGGTTCGAGTCGTCGCGTTCGAGACGCCGACTGAGAACTTGCCCGACTTCGTGCGGGACGGCGAAGCTCCCCACCTGAGGCTGATGTCGCCGGTGAAGAGGAAACGCGGCGCGCCCGACTGGCTCACGCTGATCGGCCGCGAGAAGAGGGCGCGGGGCGCGGAGGCGACGGCCCCCGGCCCGCGGGAGGCGCCGCGGCCCCTCTCCGGCGCGGAGAGGTCGCCCCGCCCCGCCGGCACTAAATCCGGAACCCTCTTGAAATACTTCAAAGTCACCGACGAGTCGGTCGGTGCGAGTGGGACGTAGGAATCGACTCGTGCCGTTAGTCGCCTGTCGAATTTTAATTTTATACACTACGTATGCCGGAGCGGCACGTTTGCGGACGCCGAGACTGACGCAGGAGCGATGTTATGTGCGTTGATGAATGTTTTGTTTGTTTGCTAAATTAATGATGATGATCGTTTTTAACCTTTAAAATTACTGTTAAAAATTCTATTACCGCGTGACTGTCTACTATTTTCATATAATAGATTTGCGTGGAAAATATCCATATTGTTTTTCTAAATTTTCGAATAGTATTTTGTTTCGATTGTCGTATTGTGATCGTTTTGACATCTATTTTAATAGGTACAATATTTCTTACGATACAGAGTAGGCCTTCTGGTCTGTATTCTCGTTCGATATCGGAAGGCGCATCTATTAATCGTCAACTTTCAGTTGAACTTAAAATGACTGATTAAAAACAACACGAAATAGTTTTGACTTTCAGATTGTAGTTCATTGATGCTAGTGATTATATCGATAAAGTTATAAACGTTTTCGGGCGTCAAATTTTCTGGGTTCAAGGCTCTGATTCGTGCATACAAAACCAGCTCTCGACGTATTGTCGGTGAGCGAGTGTTAGTTGCAAAAACACGTGCCTAACGAACTCTAACATGTAAGCGTAAGGGTAAGCGTTGTTTAATAACAATGCATTTAAAACTAGTTTATATCGATATCAACTATGTTGAATTATATAAGTCATTTGAAAAGTAATCATTTATAGCCTATTTCCTCTCTTTTATCTGAACTCAAATTATTCTAAAAAAAAATCAAGAACAGATATTCGAAAAACTAATTCTAAACTATCAAAATATAAGTATATTCCATATATATTTATATATATATATAACTAGATGTGTACGGTCACGGTCTAAAAATGATTACCACCTTAAGGTTCATAATTGCATGCATATATCTGTACCATAAGGTTGATGAGATTAAACATTTTATTATTTTGACCTAAGTTGTAATTCTTTATTCGTATAAAGCAAGGTGGTTTTGTGCACTATGGTTTACTTCTACTCTTGTGGGTTGTAAAATTAACTTATATAAAACCTAAAGCTATTTGTATATGTTTTATCAACTTCATCTTAAAAAAAAAAGAAACGACTTTCTTAATCAAAATATAGTAAATATTGCTCTTTTCTTAAAATCGATCGAAAGTGATAACTACCTAGATATAGTATTTTAGCAATTATAGCTTACAGTGTGATAAATCGTCTAATTTGAAAACTGGTAAACATTTTTAGATCGGGACCGTACAGTCACTCACATCAAGTTATAAATAACTGCAATTTCTTTTATTTGTAAGTTAAGTTCAAATTTGAATATAGTATAATAAACTCATCTGTGTGCGCGGCGGTATGTGTGGATCTGTGTGATAAGAGGTGCAGCCAAATATAAATACGGTAATATCAAATATTTTAAGATAAAAATAATAAGACTTAACTAACCTAGAATACGAATGACATAGATTAACTAGAAATCATTAAATATTAAGAATAGCATAAGCAGATTTGTCACTTCGCCAAACCTGTAGCGTTAGGTAGTGCCTTACAAAGTACTTGCTTAGATAAGCAACGTTTGTCTATGATTTTGCATGCTTCAGTTCTTCTTCTTTTAGTATATGTAGGTACTGCCAAATCAAGTACGACAGTTCTTGTTCTTTTTTCTCGACCCTATTTGCATTTACACAATTCCACTAATGTCACGTTAATCGCCTTTATACATAAAGAGACAATAACAAAAATATATATTTTGAAAACAAGAAAAACTATACGTGGTCTTGTATTTACATGAACACTCAAGTCGTCATTGTCATATATAAAAAGTCCGAAAATTCAAAAAGTCATTGTTTATAACTCAATTCTAATATATAAACTCCTTTATTGCAACTACTAGATTAAGCAAACTATGAAGTTTTCGATTAGTTGCTTTCAAACAAGGTTATTTATGAAATCCGATTCCATTTCAACATAATTCGCCGTAAACTTCGAGACAGTTTCGATACCGACTGTACCCAAACAAAAAAGCTGTAAGAATACGTGTTCTTCTTTTATCTTAAAGGCTAATATGTGTTAACCACAATCCTGCCAATTTCACGTATGTGACCACTACTCGGTATAATAACCAATTTGGAATATGTAGCAAATTCTTTCTATGTCTACTTAACACGTGCTGCTCGGACGACGGCTAAAGCGTCACTGTCACACAAACGAAAGCTTTAATTGCAAGCGCACGCATCATACATAACGCAGCGCGCACAGATGACTTGCTATTTGTTATTATCATGTGCTGTACATGCTCATAATAGGGTATTTGACACTTTTCTGAAAACTATTTTAAATCGTTGTTTGCTACATTATAAACACACTGTCATAATATTTCATTGGAATCTTTTCTATTTTTGGTGAAAATAATTGTTAAAATTTAAATAGCCAAAATCGCGCGAAAACACTGCTCTATGTAATGGCGCTGATTGTGACGTCACAGGCCAGTAAATATGTCAAATCGATAAGTAACATCTGTCTTTAGAGTAAATTAAAATAATAATTTAGAAGAGAAATTGAAGTCGTAGTGTTTTTTACTTTCCTCTGCTCTGGTTTTCTTTATAAAATGAGCTATAACTGGTGCGTAGTGCCACAATGTACTAATAATTCTATAAATAACAAAGAAACTTGGGGTCTAGAAGAAAACCGATTCACAATCACAATAGTATAGTAGATATATAAAGTAGATATGGGTGATAAAATTAGTTAAGGATTCGCTAAAAGTATTGAAACATTATTATTTCATATTGATACATTTGAAGGTTTTCTTTTTGGTTTTTTTCTTTATCATAAACATTTTACGACTCATTTATATTTGTGGATTGTTCATATTTTTAACTTGGAGAACAGTATATATCACCAAAATCGACTTTGTAATTTTGAATTATTATATTAAAGTTCAAGAAATGAGAAAAACATGTTAGTTTCCATTTTTAAATGGCTGCCGTTTTCCATATTTCTTGGATTTTTTAAAAAGCTTAGTAAATGATTATTTCTTTCTGTATTTATTTTTGGCAGTTCTTATCAGTAAAAGCGACAAAGTATTCTGTTATCAGTAAGTACTCGATACCTACAGGCATCGATATTTTATGTATCTTTCTAACACTACTTTGACATGACAGCTGATGACGTCACAGACCAGTAAACAGAATCGTGATTGGTTGTGACGACGACCAATTTTAGGACGTTTTCGTCGTTGAATAAATTCCTAAAAATATTGCATTTTCTTTACGTTATTTTACTTAATCTAAACATGTTTTTTCTGCAGATGTTAAGAAATAAGCTTTATTAGATTATTATCTATCAGGATGAACACAAAATGCAACTTATTTTCGATAGTGTCAAATACTATATTTCGTCAAAGTGTTAAACTTGTTTTATTTTGGTTAAAAAGACTACACTTTAAAAAGGCTACACCAGCATTATCTGTCATATGTATTAATATAAGTGTTTGTTAATTTCTAGAGAGCCCTGTAGTGCCTGAGGCAATTCAGAACTGACTAAAAATATGTTGGTAGATTTGCTCTACCCTGTAACTTCAAACCTTGATTGATGTGTCACAATGAAGCCTCGCAATCAACTGTCAGGAGTCATGACAGTTGATGTAACGACCTGATAGATAAATTTACGCATTCATTCTGACACTAATAAGGCTTGAAGATTTTTTGCAGAGCCGCAGTTGGAGTGTACATAACGGGGCACAGAAGATTTGAGAAAATCTGATCAAATTCTAACCAAACCAAACGCTGTTTACCGTTTCGATACAATAAAATTGAAGAGATTTTCTTAGTCTTTTTTCCCGGTGACTCATTATTTACATTTCCACAGAAGCCGCAAATTCAAATTTTAAATTTAATGGATTTCTGTACCGATATCTGATGTACGTTAAAATGTGATAATATAGATATTAAGCACCTTACATTGTAGCTTTATTTATCTACACCCCCCCCCCCCCCCCAATAAAAACAGGGCGCACAGTTATGTAATAACTAACACAAGTTTTATCAGGCTCGTGTATCATTATGAGTTATAATCTAATAATGTCTCCAGTTTTATACGAAACTGGCAGTTTTCCCGTGACTTCGCCCGCGTATATTGTAGCTTATATCATCACTTTTGTATGATGTAACGAAGCACCGAAGGCAATAGATCACGCAGTCGCTCGCCAACTAGATGGTCCAATCAGCAGGCTTACTCTTGAACGCAATCTCAATACAATGCAATAATGATCTGAATTTTCTTCAAATCTTATCTCGTACTCTTGAAACTACTTAGTTTAAGCACAGTGTATATAAGTAGACAGTGGTGAAACTGCCTATAAGCGTTCGAAATCGCACGCACACATAAACACGCTCACCGACGAGCCGCCTAAGTGGACCTAACAGGACGCTCAGTAACGCGTATCGCGTCGAGACGAGAGGTCACGTTACACGTTCGGCGATCGTTTTTATAGTTATTTTTAAGATTATGTTTTTTTTAAAATACCCGTTTCAGTGTCATGCATATTTTCGGGTTGAAACGTAGTACGGTCCCACCCGAAAATGCTTGATAAACACCCAAAAACAGCCGCTGATGAGCGCGCCACCTAAATACAGTGCCTACCTACCACGCGTCCGATTCGAAAAGCGCACGTAACGTCCAACCCCGGCTATGTTTCCGTCAAAGCTTGTACAAGGTTATGCTGTAATATCAAGTTAAAGATCTACATAAAAACAAAGTTTTACAAGTTGTGTGTCAATATTAAACTATTTCTCGTATGTTAAACTATCGTCTTTTGCTGAGATTAACCGATTTTTAACCGACTTCAAAAAAAGAAGGTTATCAATTCGACCTGTACGTATGTAATATTTTCCAGAACTGCCCAGTTTTCAGATATGTTATTCTATACCACCACAGTGTTAATATAAGTAGATATCACCGTCTGAACAAATGTGCCAAATATCAAAAATGTATGTATGTTTTTTGTTTGTTAATTAGTTATTACAATTCGATTGATTAATAATGTCAGAACTCCTTTTATATTTTGTAAAAGAAACAATGTCTAAAACATTAAAAATGACAACCCTATGGTTTCAATGGAGCGTAGGTATTTATTTTATCAAATAGGCTCAGTTTCTATACTGTGTTATACTTATACTGTGGTTTAAGTGCAGTTCAACTACTGAGTTCATTCAATAACCACGCAATACTGAGCCAATAGCTAGTCTACCAAATCGATAGTAGGAAACGTTGCGTCAATAGAACGTGATCAATAGTTGGCTAAGCATACAGATGAGACATGCGTCATTGTCCAAATTTAACACCGTCCAGGGAACCAGTGGAGGCCAAATCATCCACACCAGATGCAACTCTGATCTCAGGACCACGATCAAGGTATGTACATGACAAATACCGAAGACGGTACTTGATCTACAATAGCCGAGACAGGCCAAGCATGGAGCAGGTTAGAGGGCTAAGTGTAAGTATACGTTTACCTTCAGTCAATGCGTTAACGTAAAACTCATCGCTCTGTCCGCAGCTTTGAAATGTTTTGGAAAATTCATTGTTGATTCGAAACGTCTAAAAATTAAGAAATATATGCGACATAACATTTTTTGTCAATTTTTAGAAAAATGTTTTAATTGATTTTTATCCTTAATTTGTAAGTTGTAGAATTCAAAATTGATAGAACAAGTTTCGCCTTTTGTAGTAACCTATAAATAAAATTATATCTTCATCTCTCTCACTGCCAGTTGCACAAACGTCCATTGATGATTTAATGACGCCTTTAAGCTCTAATAAATGTCTAATTTGGATGAGTAATGTTGTTAAAAATTAATGAAAATTTTAATGGACGTATGTGTAACTGACTGTAAGACTAAGAGTATAATGTAAACTCAAATCGACCGAATCGAACACATCAAAGTAGCCTAAAGAAAATACTTCTAGAATTGATTGTTCGTACAAACAATTCGAAACGTAAATCTCCAGTTAAATCACAAAATCAAGTGGAGATTTACGATATAAATTAATATTTCTAGCGATTTGGTCATCGAGAGTTATTAAAACCAAATTATATCAAATAGTTTACTAAGTTCATTAGGTTCTTTACGTAGCATAGTTCGAGTCGCACAAACGTCCATTAAAATTGTAATCAGTTTAAAAGCGCTATTACGAAAGTTTGTGCAACTTGATGCGAGTCTCAAATAACAACAGTGCGATATGCCACAAGATAGGAACGATGAATGAAACTCAAATTATTCAGATGTGCCATTGCTCACTCTTTATTACGATTGTTAATTCAATATATAAAAACATAATATAAATTATTATTTATAATATCACCACTGATTGTTGAAGGTTAGTGCGTCACAGCGAGCCCCTGAATCTCTTAAAATATATCAGAATAAAAAACGTGATTGCATACTTTCCCATACATAAATACCCTTTCCATGTGACTCGCGTACATTATTTGTTTCGAGATAAAGAAATTCACCGGAAATTCACCGATACAATAATAGAAATTACACTTCTAACAAAATGTAAATAAAAAAAATACAGAAACTGGATTGATTAATTATACAACAAAATAATACATATGTATATACAATGGCCGAATCTAGTAGAAAAGAAACGACAATACTTTACACCCCATGATGTGTTTGTATTATAGCATTTTGTTGCAACATATTATTAGTGCAATATCCATTGGTATTGTTATAGTATTTTTGTATACCTATTACGTAACGGTGCGCCTGCATGCACGTGTTTGACAGTGAAGTTTTTTTAGTTTCGGGAATGACAGGTCAATTTTAATCATCAAAAAACCAAAAGTAGTCTTTTCGAGGAATTTTGTTACGTCGCTCTTAAAATTTTCTATTTTTCTGTTTGAATTAATAAACTGCATAAAAAAATATTACTTCGCGATTTTATTTCGCGCGAATTAATTATCGCAGTTCTGCACACATTGAATAATACGAAAAAAGAAATCGTGTTTACTAAACTACCGATTTTCGCGATTGTTCAGTCGTGCGTCAGCACAAAATGTCGAAATTTATATTGAAATGTTTTATTATGCTATTTCTGGAAACTACCATCATAGGTGATTGAAAAGAGGTTGTGGGAAGAAGAAATATACGTTGAATTGAATCAAACAAATTCAATTTGTTTTGTAGTTCATTTTTAGGGTTCCGTATCCAAAGGGTTAAACGAGAACACTATTACTATATTAAGGCTTCGCTGTCTGTCTGTCACTGTTCTGTATCTTATGAATAGTGAAATTTAGACACTTGAAATTTCCACAAATACTGAAAACCAGAATAAAATAAAGCTTTTTTTATGTATGGAACCTTACGTGCGCGACTCCGATTCGCACATGACCGGTTTTTGCTTCATATGTAAAAACCGGCACTTCATAAGAGTGACAAAAATCACGGAAACAGAATTTTAATCGCAATGCGGACAATGCGTTATGTCAATGCGAAATTAAATCCGCGCGAATCCAAATCGCGATGCGTGCAGGCCCTAAATAGCAAACTTTAAGTTCAGCAAGCGACGAGAGATATGCGCGTTGACGAAACAAAGCCGCGCCGCGTGGCACGTGGAGGGTAGCTCGGGGCCCGCTGACGACTCGACTCGATTTGATAACAATAAAAGGTCAGTAACGAAACTATACCAGAAATAATATGAAAAATAACACATTTTTTTTAAAGGAAGAAAATTGTTAACAATGTTTCTGACGCCGCGCGTCTCGCCATACAATTTGTTATATATACCTACTACATCTAAGTCTGCTCTTAACTCTACTCGTAACTTAACACTATGTACATACGATCTTTATCCAAGCGATTTAAAAAAGTCTTAGTACTTTTATAATATTAATTTGAAAATTTGTTAAATGTCTTTATAGTTAAATTCACGGAATCCACTCGCACCACATTTTATTATGTTGTTTCGCTTCGTAACACAATACGATAATAAAATATTTAAACCACCTAAAAAAACTACTAATAAAGTATCCAACTAGGGTACAACCGATATTGTACGAGAGACGAGGGAGCGAGACCGCCGACTCGTCTTCGTAGCAATTGACATTTTAAAAATGGTAAAACAACGTTAATCTACGATGGAATCACGTGTTGGGGCGCGGGTACTCGTGTTAACAGACGACGATATAAAATTTATAAAACGACAAACCAAATTTGTATCCGTACACTGTCTGTTCAACACAAATAACCAGCGAGTCAGTCGCAATTCGAGATCAAAAACATGAGGTGATAGCTACTACCGTGCCTCGATAATACTGGCTGAAGCCACCGCCCCGGACTGCGGGCTACGGATCACGGACACGGATCGCGGACACGGATCACGGATACGCATCACGGAGCCCGGCGCGGTGCGCTCGTCACATCACAATCCACAATAAACTATCCCCGGTAAAAAGTAAACTAGCGATGGCCTCGTACAAAATAAAATTAAACCACGATATGAGCTCGTCGATGCGCGGTGATTCGTTACACGAACGATCAGTTCACGAGATGTCGCCACCGTCCCGACGCGAACGCGACGGTGGACGCGGTATTTGTTAAAAAATATAGTATAATTATCAAAAACGCTACGCTCGCCGCCCGGAGCGCCTCGCGCGTCCGACGAGCGTCACACAATGTCGAGTTTGTACTTTGATCATCATCGAGCGCAACCGAGGAATCCAAACTACGGAACCACCCGACGAGACTCGAACGAAGGGTGTTCGTATGCGACAACGTTACAATTTGATATGATTCGATTACAAATGTCGATAGTCACTCGATTCAAACGTTGAACGGCCGTCTGCGGTCGGGATGAGGGGGGGGCGCCTTCCTGCAGTCACTGCTCGCGGTCAGATCACGCGGACACTCTCTGGAAACAACATAACCATCATATTTACCATAAATATTTATTGATTTTAATAGATTTTAATATTATAATGTGTAATATAAATCCGATAATCGCAACTGCCAGATTGATCGGTATTGAATTTAGTTAAAATGAATTCAAGGTTCAATACAGTATTGAACGTTGAGTGCATTTCAAGTAACGCGGCGTAGAGTGCATTTGATTCCATCTGATTTATTGAAGGTAGATCTACACACCGTATCTAACAATACAGTATTGAACGTTCATTGCACTTTGATTAAATTCAGTGTCAGTAAACGAAATTAAAGTTAATTTACAGATATTGTAAATCGAAGACTTATTTTCCAATACGTAATGATTGTTTTTAAATTCGTTTTGTTGATAAGTTCCAAGTTCTTAGTAATTTGAGATATCATAGAGTGTTGAAATAAAATTAACTGTATGGAGTAAAATACAGATGTGACAGAAGTTCACCATCATCCAACAGCCTGCCATGTTAACTCATGCATTAGTATATAGTATCGCGGTAGTGTAGTGTAGTGTAATGTAGTGTAGTTACCAGGGCGGGGCCGGGGCGCCATCACCAGCAGAACACGGAGAGCTCGCCCCCCGCGCCCCCCACCGCGCGCCACGACCGCACGCCGCCCCCCACCACCTTCAGCTGGAACCGGCCAAACGATACTCCTTATAACATCACCACGTCAACGGACTCCTCAAGGAAATAGACGCCCATAAACTCTCAAAAAGATGACTTCTGTTTTACCTTTCATTTGAAAGATATGATATGGGTAAACTTTATCTCGAAATGAAGGTGTCCAAAAAATGGTACATGAACTGTGACCCCGGTCCGACGTCGTAGATGTTCAATATACGTCTGATAACCACAACAGACAGTCTTAGATGCGGTACGTTGGAATTACTCACACTACACCCTTCTGAGGAAGGGTTGGTGCTTTAGATGTACCATCGGTATCCCTTATATGTGCCCGGTTGTGATACATACCAAAATACGGCAATCGTCAAGTTGCTTATTATATCGCGTGATTTACGTGTTTGTTAACTTATTTAAAGATAACTCTTATCAAATCTACATAATGTAGATTTATATAACATCTGTATAACAATAGGATAGATAATCTATATTATTTGTATAAAGTTTTCAACACGATTGTAATTGACCTAGGTCATCCGTTAACCGGGGTCCGTCGGCTATTATTCGCCAGCCTGAGTTTCTGTTGTCACACTCCTCTTCAGAGAAGAGCTGTTGAGCGGGGACACGAGCGATCGGTGGTCAAGGTCATAAGAGGGGGGCTCCAAAGTGGGGTCGGATCCGGCGGAATCCTTGCTGGAGGTTAAAAAAGGTCATACGTAAAAACCGTACGCAACCGAAATCGTGGCAAGTCTATCTATTGTTATACCCAATATATCAAAACCCAAGAACGGAGACGCGTTTTTGTATATAATAACCACAATTATTTATTGTATAAAAAATTTAGAGAAAATTATAAAACAACTCTTTTCTTTATCAAACTTAGTAACAGTCAAAAAAAGCAAATGTAGCAAGTCGTTCTTCATAATAAGACTGTCAAACACTTGTATAAATAAAAAATCATCATAAACTTTATAATATCACAAACTTGGCAGATTTGAGGCTAACTCAAAGCTATATTAATTAACAATGAACAGTTTATGTATATAATATTTCATAATAATATGTTTTCCTTATTAGTATCTAATGGTTTTGGTTTATTTTAGTTTTCTCTATTTTCTAATTGAAGTCTAAAGAATTACGGTAACAACAAAATATATTTATGCACATATCCTATGATGTATCATAATTTCAATAACAATGACTCTTGTATCGATAATACTTATTGGAAATTAATGACTCAAATTATGATCAGATATTGGATCCACTTGAATAAGTAATCGTTCTCTGAAATACTGATAGTAGAGAATTTATTTTCAATTTGTTTCGATTATACTGATATTTTGATTTACAGTATCAAAAGACGCTCTCATAACACATACTATTATATATCACCATTTTAATTGAAAATGACCACCATTTTATACCACATTTTATAAAGTACATACACCACTTCAGATAAGATAAAATATGATTGTCATAACATTTTACTAAAGATAGTATTAGACAGATAAGATAAAATTTATTATCAGTTTATATTTAATTTATATAAGTACAAATAAAACAATAAAAGGCATTTAAATAATTAATAAACACATCACGTTTATTCTATGCATGTATTCATATATGAAAGGAAATTAAAAAAACTCGAGAAAGACGAAGCACCTTCATTTGAAAGCAATTCAACTTGTGTTGTATCATATGCGAACTTATATAGGTATGATCTTTTGTATCAGTTTGATTTTACAAGTGGTTTCAACATACAATTTTTGAAGATTGTGAGGATTCATAAATATATTGCTCTAGATATTTATTTATTTGACTAAAGCTTTTGATTGTGTTTCTCATGAAATATTGACTAGAAAACTTCATAACTACGGATTTACAGATATTTCATCGAAAATTTATATAAAAAAGAAGAAAAAGAAACATTTATATCTCATATTTTAGTGTCGAGAGTGTAAAAGGCATCGACGGCAAGACATTATGTGTTCCACAAGGCTCAATCCTTGGACCTGGCTTTATTTTTTTAATATGTATATATAAATTAATTCGTATAACAAGTTATATAAAATATGCAAAAATATGTTTTTTAAATATTTTAAGCATCTAATTTTATTCGTAAAATTTAAAGAACTATTCTTTAATAACTTTCAATAATTATAAGATTCACAAAATATCTGAACAGAATATGTTGTTTTGGTAAACACTAGCATATCGCTATAATAAAACTTGTTTTAAAATGTAAATTTACTACAATCTCGCTTCACTAAAGCATCAATTCACAAAATATACAATTCGGCTACACCTGACATTGTTAAATCGCTGTAATACGGTATCAGATGCCTTTGTAAAGCATTCACGCACGTATCACACAGCGCAAAAACTGCTAACGCATCGTGTTTTGATTCCACATCTTCCCATATAAGGATCCTGGCGCGGCTGCCGATCTGCACGCGCAAGGAATGTCGCCCATTGAGGAGTGCTCTCCCTACTCAATGACAAACGAGTACAGTCGCCAATCAGCCAACAGACCCGTTCGATAATACTAATTAATATCCACTTAAGTTCGTATCAATCTAAACTACTTATTGATTGTGAATAAATAAATATATCACTACATAGTATAAAATAAATTTTATGACACTAATTTAATAAATATGATGCTTGAATACTTGAAAAAAGTAAAGAAAATATACTACAAATATTTGCTAAAATACTTATAGCATTAAATTGGTTACATAAAACGTTACAGATTTTAATACCACCTATAAACATAAACGCGCAAATAACAAAGATATTACAAACATTGCCCAGACGCCCATACTTTTTTCATTACCGTAGCACCGTGTGACGTCACTTAGTGCGTTGAATTTGTAAGGAGTGTTTTCGGCCGACTAGCAGCAGTTCCACAAACAGCACCGTATCTCCGAAACTATTAATTGCAGACATGCACTTACGTCTACATTATTTCTCAGATATTAATAGACTATTTATCTATAAATTATCAAAATTTTACAATATTTAATTATTTGCACTATTTATAAATAATTTTGACTTTACATTTCAATACGCATCATATGTCCTTTTTATCTATATTATTGGTTGACTTATTAATTTCGTTGTTTTCTTTTTGTCTAGTCTAAGAAATACTGTTTGCTTGCTAATTTATTACTATAAAAACTGCCTTATACATATATAGGTGCCCGCATCCGGTCGACGACCCGTTGATATATACCAGCCTTTTCCAAAGTGGACGATAACGCCCCCTTGTGGGCGCTGCAGGCTTAAAGGCGCGCGGTAAGAAATCGCGAAAATAATGGGTCGTTGTGTAGAGGCTTGCAGGTGGGTGATTTGTAATTTCATTTAGCTAGGTGGCCGTTTAGACACCGATTGCATGAGCTCTCGACTCTCCACTACAAATTGTAAACATCAACTAATATTAGTTTGCTCAAACTCGGTTCGATAATTATGTCATATATGTATTCTGTCTTATTGAATATATAAAATAAAAATTATGTCAATAAGAAAGTATTAAAAAAAATAGTTCCCGAAACCATACTAGATGTCGCTACTGTACGCTCTTGATTTCTCCATGACAACCTTTCCGGTTTTCTTCCAATTTTAAAAGCAAATTATTTATCTCCTTGTTCATTGCTCAAAAAGGCAAACCGCATAACATAAGAGAAGAGTTTTTTCCAGTAATAAAGAAAGTAATGTGTGTCATAAACTGCCCGCAGAGATATCCGAAAAAAATCTTTGAGTAATAATTCTGTGCAAAGACGAATTGATGAAATAGCTGAAATTTGTGCGATTGTGCGATTACCTGATAACAAATCAATTCTCAATTCGTTTCAAGTTAACTCTTGCGAGTTATAGTAAGTCTCGTTTAAAATTAATCTTTAATCTCCGCTAATATAGCTTTCAATAATGAATTAATTTAATTTGAAGTAATAGTGGTTTTTAAGTAGGTGAAAAAATGGGGGCGCTAAAAACAATTTATTCTCAAAGTAGGCAGTAGATAAAATAAGTTTGGGAACCCCTGATATATACGATAACAATGTTGTGGCCTGCATTAGATACCTTATCAGTAGGAAGGTGAAATAACCTCTAACTATAAAAATACGATATAAAAATGCAACCCTGGCAGGCATAAATCGAAAACTCTTGTTATGTTATCCTCAAGGATCAATGGATATAAAAGGTAACATTCAGACAGTATGGAAAACTTTAACTATATTTTATAGAACGTAACAAATAAGTTTCATTATAAAGTACCTAAATTATTTATTCTTACTAACTTTAGTAGTGGGCAATAGGGGATTTTTTTAATTACCACGCTTTATAGAATCGACATTTCAGCCATATCATTTGAGGCTGTTTTACTACTTTTGTCAATTTTATTGAGAACTTGTTAGAATCTTCTGTCACGTAACAGTCAGAACAAGTTTTGTTCTAACGATGTGCTAATATTAGCGCAGTAATAATAAAATGTTTCGGGAAATTAAACATAATGGTCATAGTAAAGAAATATTTTGGTAATATAATAAAATAACATCCGAATAAACCGTTGCCCAGTGTCGTTGATGCCTTCACCATGCAGTAGACATGCCACGTGGTGGGCGTGGGAACGTGCGACATGTGCGCTAATTACACGACACACACCATACTTATTAATTTTATATTACTACTTAGTCCTTTATTTCTAATGGCGACATAATAAGAAGGGATCTAAATTGTAAATACTAGGTCGTTTATCCTATATATTATGCAAGGTTTTTCAGTGTCTTTGGTTGTCTTTCTTTGGTATATATTTTTTTTGTGAAGTTAAAAAATTGGAGGGTGTAATATGGCACTCTTTACTGTGAGTAAACTATTCATTCTCTTTGACTGTGCGTGTGAAAACGCGGGTAACAGCTAGTGAATCATAATATACGATAGGCAGAAAGATACGCAAGATAAAAGATCATTACTGTTATGCGTTTATAGTATTATTTGAATGTTAAACGTGCCAACGTTTGTTCGGATCGGTCTCGGAGTCGTGTGGTGTCAGAGGTCATAGACTCTGATTGTTCCATACGGCTCACCGCAGAGTGCAACCAGATAAACAATGGGCGAATTATTGTGCCACATACCGAACTAGACACGTCTTTCGAAATGCCCGTGTAATGTATTTAAAATGTAGATTAATCTAGCACGCGAACAACGATCGCTATTTAGATTATTATTATTTCTGTGGCACGAGGGAAACGGTTTTAATTTAGATAAAAATAAGAATAGTCTCATTACAAAAAATGTTAATATTATTGTAGCGGACGTTGTATATCAGCTACAAAATTATGTTTTCAGGCTGGTCGGATCGCACTTATCATTGAATACGCATTTTATGTTTAAAAAGAATAACAATTGGAAGCTTACAAAAGTAGTGAATAGATCTTTGTCATTTTTATGTACCAAATTAAAATTCATGTTCTCACAAAACGGAAAATCATAAATAATTCGGATAACATGTATCGTTTAATATAAGACTATCATGCGATATAGATAGATAACTACAGGCCCATGAAGATATGTTCACAAAGGCAATTTTGGTAAAATTTTTGTAAACAAAACGGTAACACACCTGCTGCATCTTATCGAAGTCTAGCGCGGGCCGGTGTCGCCGCGGCGGCGGCAGCGGCCAGCGGCGGCGCCGCGGGGAGGGGGGCGCGCGCTCGCCCCCGCACGCCGCCCCCGCCCCCGCGGCCGCCCGCCGCGGCTTCAGCGCTTCCAGCGGCGGCGACGTGCGGAACCGCACCGGCGTCTCCACCTGGAACACCACAAACCGCTCTCACTACTCCCGCTAAACAAACTGGCTTCATTCCTGGACGAAGAGGACCGTCGTTCGAGTCGCCTCTATCGATCTCACAATCTGCCGGCCCTGATAAGCTCCGAGCGTCAGCGGAGACGACGTGCCGCCCGCCCGAAGGTCTCTCGAACGGGAAGGCGTTCTCGTGACGAATATTAAAAAATTAAAAAGATCGACGGAAGCGAAAGGTTTTCGAAAGAGGGGGATCGGCATACAGGTGTTCCGCGAACCACCGGCTCGTGGTGCGGCCCCGTAGAATACTATTTGATAATGTGTGATCAGATTAAATCGACATAGATTTAAAGAACTTCGAATAGGATAGTTTCGCTTCGCACCGATCTGGTTTCTGTTATATTTGACGGGTGAACATGTGCGAGCAGTCTTCGGCACGTAAGTGAGCACGTTTCGATAAGATAGAGTCAGAGATAAATTATTTGAATTTATTATTTTCCAGGACAGTAGAACATTGCAGAGGTAGAGCCGTGCGGCTTGCGGGGCAGCACCGTACGCTACAATAGCAGCGTCCCGCTCGCTGCACGGACGAAGCTGCATCGCTGCAGGAGCTCAAGGTTAGGCCCCGGTAGTCTGATTTACGTCTTAGACCGCGACCTTCACGACGACGCAGGGCGGAGCACACTAATTCTTATCACGTCGAAGGACCACGTTCGATCACGTTTCATGTCATGTGAGGTTCGATGTGTGTGAATGTAATACGAGGATCTAATCGAATAGAAATCGCAAATGTGGCAAGGCAAGTATAACGATGTGAGTGCGGGTGGCATGGCATACCTTGGTGTCGTCGTCGTCGGAGGAGGGCGGGCGCGCCGCCAGCTCGTCGTCGTAGGGCTGCGCGGGCCACTTGCGCTTCTCGGGCGCGGCGGGCGGCGGGGAGGAGGCGCCCCGCCGCCGGGACTCGCCCGCGCCCGCGCCCGCCCCCGCCCCCGCCCCCGCGCCCGCGCCCGCCGCGCTCGGAGTGCCGTTGATCACCTGCACCGGTCACCCGACACCCGTCAGCTACTCGCAGTGGTTATGGGACTACCGAATGATATGATACGCGCCCCTCCGTGTGGGTTGTCGTAACACGTTCTACTGTTAGATATGAATGACCATCTCGATGACTGGTAGATGGCAGTTCGATTGATCTAATGGGCTGATCGCTTTCACGGTTGATATTTTATTAATCCTGAATCGGAACCGGTTTAGTTTTCTCAGAAATTAAAGTTTAAGAATATTTCGACGATACGGCGGATGAATTCCTCTTGAATTCAATCGCTTTATCGTCGAACGCTTTAAATCTTCGCAACCTCTTCGGCTTTTAAAATGTGAAGGCTAAATGCTCTTCAAAATGACTCGTATAGGAAATTTCACTCCCTAGTTATGCCCGCTAAAATACTTTCAAGATTGCCTCAAGCAAAATATAGTATTAATAAAAATAGAGATTTTCAAAGGGTTAAGTACGGCGTATAAGAAAAAGAGAGAAATAATCGGCGAAACACCTGCAGTGGACTGGATTCCTGGTAGTACAGAAGATAAGAAATTCTAGAGTACATTTAAAAAATATATAAGTTCAGAAACTAAAACCCGACTACAGCTAAATCACGCTCTAAAAAGTTTGAAACAAAAAAAATATTTTATAGCGATAGCTATATTATAATAGCTGTCCTTTGGTCACCGCTGAACTGAGTGTACATATATATTAATATACACTCACAAACACAATTAACCGCCCACCTGTATCATTCATCACCCTGTTTGGTTCCATCAACTATGGCTTATCAACTGTTTTGTTTTTTGTTAAGTGCGTACTCTAGCAGTAAATAAAATACGTATACCCTTATTTTCTTTCCTAAATTTGTGTCTCCGAAGGATTTTTGGAATTTAGTCTTTGTTTTATATTGTTACTGTTGTGTTACCGAGTTATCATTCCCTGTTATTCTCTATCATAGTGGGCGAATATTGTTTAATTTGAAATTATTGTGTTTGCTCATTGTTTTTATTGCAGAAAATGCCACTCGATGCAACTGATGTATGTAGCTAGGGCAGTGGCTTTATCTGTTGCGGGGTATAGCCTGCGTCGCATCTCTCGCACACTCTGTGTACCTCGTACTACGGTACGAGATGCCATCAGGCGATTTCGGGAGACAGGCTTGCACACCCGCAGGCCAGATCAAGGCCGACATCGATGACCATTTCATTGTAACCAATACGTTGAGAAATCGCTTCGCGACCGCTACTAAAGCTCGTACGTGTCTTTTCGAGGTGAGATATGTCAGTGTCAGTTAACGTACCATTCGAAGAAGACTAGCAGAAAGTAATTTGAGGGCTTTTCGTTCAGCTCGCGATTCGCAACTGCTCCCACAACACCGTAGAGCTAAACTTGTTTTTTTTTTTCGCGAGAATACGTATACTGGACTGTAGAGGAATGGAAAATCATACTGTTCTCAAATGTGAGAATAATAACCTTAAGAGGTCCAGAGGGACGTCAGCGTGTCTACAGATGTCAAGATGAGAGTTTTGCTCCATGCGCTATAACTGAAACAGTACGTTACGGAGGGTCCATAATGGTATGGGGAGGTATCTCTTCTAAAACTCGTACCGATCTAGTGTTTGATAGAGGAAGTATAAACGCTCAAAGATACGTGATAGAAGTTCTTCAAGACCTTTCGCTCCGTTCATTGGTGACATTTTGGATTAATGCATGACAAAGCACGTTGCCATACCGCAAGATCCGTCAATGAGTCCCTTAATGAGGTCGGGAATCTACTTTTACCATGGCTCGCACGCAGTCCTGATCTTAGCCCAATAGAGCACATTTGAAACAACCTTAAAAGATGAGTCCGATCAAGAGTACCAGTCCCTACGACCATAGGAGAGCTAAAAACGGCTGCAGTAAAGGAGTGGCACGATATCCCTCAATCAGATATTCAAGACATCATAGATGGAGTGGCAAATCGGCTCCAAGAAGTCATAAGGGCCAGAGGTGGCAACACCCACTATTATACCGGTCACTCTGCTTGGCGTTCGTGAACTACGAGAAAGCTTTTGATTCGATCGAGATATGGGCGGTGATGCAGTCTCCCCAAAGGTGCCAAGTGGACTACAGGCACATCGAGCAATTAAATTATCTGTATAAGAATGCTACTATGTCGGTCCGATTACAAAACCAGAACTCTAATCCTATCCAATTGCAGCTAGTCATAAGGCAAGGAGACGATCTCTCCAAAGCTATTCTCATATTTCCAAGCCTTTGGATTGGAAAGGATACACCAATGCTTTGCCGATGATGTAGTCCTAATGGCTGAGACCTCGGAAGACCTGAACACTATGCTTGAAGATCTCAGTAGTGCATCCCAAAGTGTGGGTCTTAAGATGAACATGGATAAGACGAAAATCATGTGAAACGTCTATGTTGTACCCACTTCTGTTAAAATTAGGAATACTACTCTTGAAGTTATATGTAGTATGTGTACTTAGGACAGACAGTCCAGCTAGGCATATCCAACTTCGAGAAAGAGATCACTCGTCGGATTCAGCTCTGATGAGCAGCGTTCGGGAACCTACGAAAAATCTTCGCGTCCAAGTTACCAGCGTCTCAAGATCAGTGTGTGTAACAGTGGTGACTTACGGAAGCGAAACGTGGTCGTTCACTATGGGTCTTATAAGAAGGCTTAAGGTCACCCAACGGGCAGTGGAGAGCAATGCTGTAAAATGTACGTGATCGAATTAAGAATGAGGAGATCCGTAAGAGAACTAACGTTACTGACATTGCTCAAAGAATTGCTCAGCTAAAGGAGTAGTGGGCGGGACACATATCGAGAAGAACTTATGGCCATTGTGGCCTTCCACCAGGTGGACGACTGACCGACCGACCGACGATCTTATAAAGGTTAGCGCTAGATACGGGCTGCGCAGGACTGACAGGAGATTATGGGAGAGGCCTATACCCAGGCAGTGCGCGTCTTGCGGCTGATGTTGAAGACGGCGTTGTTGACAATTTAATGTATCGTCACATAGCCTATGGCACGCGGACAACTAGGACCCTTCTAATGATACCTCACTTGTCCAGTTACGATGAGTAGTTTCGAAGTTATAAGGGAACAAATGAACATTCTTACATACATACCGGCCAAAATCATAAGCCTTCTTTTCGCTTCGCCGTAGTCGGGTAAAAATATAGACTGCTATATAATATCAACAAATAAGTCACCCTAAGACTGGAGACTAAAATACGAAGCTTTCTTTACTGGACCGTTCCAAAAAATTGCAACAATTCTTCATACATATCAGACTTGCATTTTGTGCAGAGCTGTCCCGACGTGAAATACTTTAACCACATTTGAGATGCTTAGTTTTTAGTTTAAAACTATGATGCTGGTACATTTGACAGAATCAATAATCATTATATTTAATCTCGAACAACGACTTTGTGGTAGATATTCGTGGTGTAGAAAGAAGAAACGCCAATTACATAATTACTCGTAACATGATGAGAAATAGTTTCATAAATAGATTTATTTATCATAATGTTGGAATAAATTCTAAGAGCGAGTAACATTTTTTAAGAAACATATTGTTCAAAGTATACTTAGGGCAGGGTTTGTCTATGAGTGCAGCGATATGGACATGGCAGCCGACGGCGGTGGGTGTCTACTGATAATCTGTGTGGACGAGCAAGGCGTCCGTCGACGGCGGCGACAATTTAACGCCCGGTCGCATCGAAAAGAGATCACCCTGATACGGTAATTTTATTGCGGCCGTACTAATTAAACTGCATTCTAAGAATTCACCCGCGTTTTTAATAGTCCATTAAATGAAGTTTCCAACGCGTTAAATTTAAACTCCCGTTAAAAACTTGTCCAACAAAGGCAAGATAGTTAAAAACTCGTTGATTCTGGTCACATATAAATGGACAATTTTTTTAAAAGACATATTTTTCTTAACGATAACAGCACCAGATGTGCGATATTTGATGTGAAAATCCCACAGCTGCATAACTAACTACACAATATTTATCTAAGTTATTGTAGCCGTAATTCTTAATCAAGCGAAGTTATTTCGATTAGCACAACTTGAAACCATGACACTTATTTTTCTTAGGCAATAGATAGATTTCGTTTTCGCAATTAAAAGAATACTAAAACAAAAGAATTTCTAATTTCAAGCCGAGCACAAGACAAACAAACGTTATGCAGGCGGCGCGGCGGCAGACGGAAAAAATGAGTAAAAAGCGAATTGTTTTGTGCTGCCTTCAAAAAACTAAAATGGCGTCAATTGAAAGACGTCGGAGAGGCGAGGAGCACGTCAACCAACAGCCACCCATCCGCTCGTCTCACCCCTCGCTACATCACAATTCAAACTTTAACTGATTTCTTTAGCATTAACATGTCATGTCATAACATTGTCTTGTCTAATATTAATAATTTTCAACAATACCTGTATGATAAACTGATTTTCCACTAATATACAATATTCAAGAACTTAATGCAAAATGCAGTGACAAAATTTAATTAAAATCAAACTTTATTTGTTCATAATTAGATTGAAAACCATCTTAAGAGGTTTTGATCACCAATTTTATAAAATATTTACAATGGCTTAACAACATTTTTTAGGATTATAATATTTGCATGCAATTTGTTGCTGACTGCTCGTCTCGTATCTATTAATGACCTTGATGAGTTTTTATCTAGTAATAGTTTCATATATTTTAATTTGGCAGAGTATATAGCTGAAGAAGGAGAATGCTGCGAGTTTACCACACTAGCTCTAAATTTATGTAACGAATAATAGGTTAAATCCTTAGTCGATGACATCAACCTCAAGTAAAAAGTAATAAAATTCAAGAATCCAACAAACGTTGCAGTGAACATAAACTGCAAATAATATCTTTGAGAATTTAGTGAGTTGATACAGTTTAAGCTGCAGATACCGTTCCGATTAGATACGATTGAAATCATTAGCGTCGACGAACAATCTAGTACCTACCTAAATTACCAAGATCCGGCCGAGCGTTCTTAAATAATTACTAATTTCATTTACAATATTCATTAACACTACAGACCTTTCTAAGGTACCAGTTGGTAGTCAGCTCGTTACTTGGCCATCATCATCGCCTAGTAATATTCGCGAATGGCGCGGTCGTTCACCTTATCTCATAACTTTTTAATCTCTTTACGTAACGCGAGCGATGCACCCGTGCGGCTCGTTGTCGGATACAATTAACGTTCTCAGATTTTCAAAAGTCAAAAATTTGGCGCTTTCAGTCATTTATTACAAAATAGCATGTATTTCACAATACAAACAATAGTTAGAAGGCGAATGGTGTTAACAAAAATATTAAGGTTAATATTAGAATGCACTAGCATCTAGTTACAACGGTATCTGCCCTGGCGATATCTGGACCAGGGGTGAGACCACCTAACTCCATCAGCCACCAGCCATGATTCTAGCCATAAGATACGACATCTGATCATCTAATTTTAGCAACGACCTATGAACGATATAAAATGATTCTGGATTTGATAGCAGTGTAACTAACATAGTCATTCATCCCACACTTATCCGTAGTAGGCTCCTATATGATGCGATAAGTTTGCACTAGAATATGTGTATTGACACGTAACCAGCGATATTGAGTGTACAATAAACGATGATCGAAGTAATTTATGTAACTTTTAGCATAAGTGTATTGTAATCTTGTTTGTTGTTCATAAATAAATTACAAAAAAAAAACTTTCGCTCCGTCCCTGAATAATTATATTATCCGTGTATGTTTCAGGATCGATAGTCCAGGTTAATTACGCCATTAACGATTCTCGACTAACTGTAAGTTGAGGATTCTAATATAATTTTAAACAACTCCAAGATTTATAATGGATAAAAATTACATTCATTTTTGCAATGCGGCAGGCACAACCCTGTGGTGACTGTAACTAATTAATTATCTAAGAATAACATCTAAGAAACGACCGATATCCCACCGAGTTAACATATTCTGAAACTCTTTATATCCTTAGAAAGTACCAATCAATAGGTAGATGAGTTTTTTAAAATAACGGCAAAAAGCGCAAAATATTGATGGAACCGTTTGAAGAGGTAGTCGAAATTCCGGCTACCATAGATGATTGCATTTCCCAAAGACTAAATAATTGCATTTGTAATAAATAAAAGGTAATGGTGTTACTTACGAGTGAATGAACAGAAGAAATATAATTAACTAGCTTTTGCCCGCGACTTCGGCCCGCATGGTCTAGTTTTAAGTTCAGAAATGAGAAAATTTCATATAAACTTTCATCCCCTAATTTATCCCCTCAGGGATCGAATTTCGTAAAATCCCGTATTAGTGAGCGCCTACATCCTAAAAATAAAATTTGAAACTCCTAGCACTTGAAGTAACGAAGTTTCATACAAACTTCCATCCCCTAATTTAGCATGTAGTTATTCGTGTAAGTAAATTTCTGCTTGCAAACTCGTATGAGTCTAAATTATCGTTTTAATATTGGTTAATTAGTCTCGTAATGTTTCGGCATTTACTATTACCTGCCCAATAACGTTCTAAAATAAAACGTTCAATTTGTTTATTCCATGACGAATAAATATATTCTCAAAGGAGTCTGTACATTCGCAAGGAAAGCAGCAATACATAACTGTCCAATAACAACATTACGTAATACCTCGCTACACACGAGATTAACTTTAAATCAAGACAAATGACTAACTCTGCTCAGGCAGTTAATGGAAAAAATATGGTTGTTTTCGTGCGTAGCTAGCTCGCTTATTCGCTATTAACGTAATTATAGAGCTGGCTCACTTATTGGACGTATTTAAGAACAACATGTCACGATGGGCCTTAAAAATAAAACTGTAGTAATTTAGTAATACTTCGTCGAAGTAAATCTTTAATGAGTCTTCGACTGGTGTATTATACTCGTATATGGCTGCTGTTGTATCGAATTATTTACAGTGAATAGAATAAGTAGGTAATAAAAAATGACAACAAAGCCCGAGTATTCTACTCAAGGACACTGAGTTAAATAACATCAAACGGCCCACGGAACCGGTCGCCCGCCGGCGCGGCCGCCCGGTGCCGTGCCGTGCGGTGCGGTGTGCACACGACAACGTGAACTTTACGTCGCACGCATTGACCTTCTTTTGAAAGTTTATGTTTTAGCCTTTTACTAGAGAACATTGCGAAATAAAGGTACTTCGAACCCGAAGTGGAATATAGTAATTTATTCTTACGATAATTATACTGTACCTACTTCGTGACTTGTTGATGATTTCTATCTAATCTGAATTGAATAGGGTTATATGAAAATGTGTTCTTTTAAATAGATTTTCAACTTCAATAGATTTCAATTATATTATATTCAACTTCGCATCAGCAGCACTAGTTTATTATAGAGCATAGGTGTTTATCCCATAACCACGTTTGAATGTAACAACTGGAGGTTGTATACACACCCTCAGCGATGTCTCTCACATAATATAAGTATATAATGCCTACAAATGTACGAATTCACATACCATGTATGTAGGTAGGTAGGTAAGCCTTACCACCTCTACTTCACTGTATAGGTAACTACTACAACGACACAAAAATTTTTGTGCTGCTAAAAACAAAATTTACTGTATAATGATAGCTCTTTTCAAAATAAATCAATTTTTATTTATAGGTCACGCCAAAACCTGGTGGTTTGAAAAAACTGAGTTTTCATTTCAACAAACTAACGTTTTTGTCTTAAGCTCCAGGCAGGTCAATACAAAATATCCATTTTATTTTGAATGACAAGATGAAGTTTCTGTATTTTGAAATTGAGTTAATGCAATTTCAAAATACAGAAACTTCATCTTGTCATAGAGAGCGTAAATAATCAAATTGTAATTTAAAAGTATAATTTAATTATAAGTTATTATTACCTAATTAAAATAGCTCTATACAAGTCTTGAAATGATAAATAAATCGGGTCAGTCATTGAAAATAACACATATACTGTACTGGTTTTCTGACCTTTAACCTCATTTTAGTTTAATATTAAGTTAATAACTTCGAGAGACGTGTGCCAATTGTATAATAATTTAACCTTTATAATAATTTGTATAATAATAAAACCTTTATATAACTTAGTTTTTGGATTATAAGTTATAACTTCTAAAAAAGGCAACACACATCAAACTGACCGCTTAATTTAGAAACTCAACTTTTGTTTTGTTTGTAAGTTTTATACTTTCTTTTTCTTCTTTAAATCTTAAGAATAAACGGTTCTTAAGAATATTTCATTTTATTACGAAACATTGATTTTTATTTTTTAATAATCGGTATTTTCATTTTAACTGTTTAGAAGAATTATGTTTGGACGACTTTTTTGATATATCATTAAAAATATTTAACGATTACCGATTCTGGCAGATACTAGCTAAAATTTGGATTATTTATTTAGTTTTATTACTAATTATGTAACTTCAAGACGGTGTTAACCTCTTGGTAACTGGGTAAGTGTATTACCTCTAGCTCCTCCTCTGACGAGTGGTGATCATAGAGATGGTCCGGCTCTGGTTCGGGCAGCAGCCGCGGCGGCGCCGGTGCGCACGCGCACGCCTCACCACCCATACCTGCACAACATTCATAGTTTCATTGACCGCAACCTTACACTTACGCGAGCACAAACACATCACTTCGAATTAAAGAGTAATTCAATTCAGACTACCCATTAATTAATTTAAATAGTGCCCTGAATAAATAAAAAGATTTTGCTTTCAAAAACTTGAATATATTTTTTTTATACAAAAGAGTAAAGTCTATATAAGTAATAGATGTTTTATAAAGCAATATTTTAGTTCCTAAAACGCAAGAGGAAAAGAGGTTGGCGAGTGAAAAGAGGACAACAAAAGCTGAGTGCTCTTGAACTTGCCGAGTCAAGACTTGCCGGGCGGTCGCAGCAACCAGCAAACTTACTCCATGCACAAATCTAGATTCAGTTTATTTCCTCTTTATATCAGAATTATAAGGTTTAATTATTTTTAATCATACATTTTTAAAAGCGTTTGTTATTTTAAAGCTTTGTATTTTAACACAGAGATTATGCTGTTTCATATATTCAAATACTAAGTTTTGGCGAGTCTTAACAGTAAGAAAGTCTCACCTAAAACCAAAATATTTTATTTTTCAAAATGTCGAAATTGAACGTATTTGAAATGAAGCTGTAAAGGGGAAATATTTGGACGAGTCGACCCGTTTACCCGAGTGCACCGCACGGCGCACCGGGCGACTGTTTAAAAATAACGATAAAAATCGTTACCAAGGGATTATTTCTACCGCTCTCAAATTAAAATAGACGTAACCTGACCCGACTTCTTTATTTACCATGAGTTTATTCAAGCTAATGTTCCTTTTTCATATGCAAATCTATTACTTTAAATGTATAGCAAAGATCAGTGTCTTATTTTGCTTAAAATACCTAAATGTAAAAGTAATCGTTTAAATGGCGTTTTCGAGGGCATAGATTTGCGTTATTTTCAAAACATTCGACTAATATAACTGTGAAATGTGGTCGATATTTAAGTATTCCCATGTCTCACTCAAACGAGTTCTCGAGTTCCAAGTGATTATTTCACTCACGTTTGGTCATTGTTATTCTTGGTCGAGCGGTCTTCTCACTTTGTTAACTTTTCCCGTTGTATGTAGCTTGAAGTGTTCTAAGAAGTCTAGTTGCTGCGAATTATTTTGCTTAATTCAGGGGGGGGACATTCGCAATCAAACCACTCTGTTGTAAATGGGATTTCATTAGACAACTACATCGTGGCCAGGACCCGCTCGTTTCGCGTGTAGAGCTTTATACATAGAGTGCCGACACCAGATACAAGAGTTCGGTTCCGCTAGTGAATAATTGAAAGGCCCCGCGTGCTCGCAAGATAGGATCTTATCTTGGCAATCCATTTTCCCCGTGCCGTATCACCGTGACGGAAGAGCTGTATTCGCGTAGCAATATGTTAACATGGCTCGCTATCGTGTCGGAGGTAGATCAAGAATCAAGATTCAATGTGCCGTTGACGCGGACATCACGAAACGTCAAACTAGTTTGTATAGTGAGCAGGCGTTCTGTTGTACATACATAACAGGGCATTTGCTAAAGTGTGCTCATATTTATTTCTAAAGTATACTAAAACTTGCATTGGTATCACATATTTAGCGAGAATGTATGATTGTTTTATCTCTATGAAACGATACGTATTGCGTTATCAGTATGATTGACCAATATGGTTCTACTTAAAATGATAAAAAAGGTAACACTACACACTGCACTAACTTGGACACAGCCGGAAAGTACAGTACAAAGCCACTAAGTGCTGAGAATTAAGAGTTTCCCACATTTAAAAAATACATTAACAAGAATAGCAGAGTATATTGCGTGTAACTCAATACAGACTCAATTAAAGGTATTAAAGCTCATAATAACAACACTACGAAGGTATAACTTTTTAATTCCTAGGAAGAAGAGACTTATAATCTCACAAAAAAAGAACAAAGAAATACAAAAAGCTAACGTCCCACTATTTTCTATACATTGTCACCGATTGACTGGATGGCGCAGGGCGTTCGAAACGCTATGCGAGAATTCTGTACTCTACATTCTGAAAGAATTACCAAGAGCAGAAAAGATTTTTTATTTCTAAAACTGAATTAATTCCGAATTGAATTTTTGAATTTTTGAATCCAGCGTATCGGCGTTCAGTTCGGTCTATTAAGTAGATATATGGTGCACGTTAGTTGTTTTTCGTTTCAGTCTATTCATCTCTCTTTCTTCTACCATGAACTGTTCCGTGTACAGTGTTCTTATTTGTGTCTCCCGCGATCTTTCCCCCATGCCTGGGCTAAAACCAGACGCTACTAGCGTTAGTAGCGTATACCCACTTTCCTAAAATGCATCTCGAAGGTTTTAGGTGAGCGGTTTCATTCTCGCAATTATGTATGTAAATGTTTACCAAAAGAAGCATGTTAAAACAATCTCTTTCACAATCACAGCAAAAAAATGAAGGCGATTTGTTTTATACTTTTTTGTGTTGATGTAATGCTCAAATACTGGAGTATGATTTATTGTGCATTATATGCTACAATAAATCAACATGACTTGCTATTATAATAATACTAATGGATAAGAATATCTCAAGACGGTTGTCATTTAACCAGTAATTTTTACCATCACACAAATTCGCACGGTGCTTTATTATTTAACATTTCGGTGAATTACAATCGTACTTATTCGCAGGTGACAGCGACAGCTTTCAGAGTTTTGTTTAGGTGAAGACTAACGAAGACGGACGAGACAAGACTGTTCATTGATAGTGTTCAATGAACTCATTAGTTTTTATAAGTAGGATATATGTTTGTATGGTGCGTGCGGTGGTCACGCGCAGCACTCATGATTCTAATGCCGGTAGGTACAGATGTGTAACCTTCGCCTGTGGTTTACGCAGGCCCCGAACGGGCGGCGTCCTGCGCCCGCCGCGCACGTGTGCCGCATGCGCATGAGCCCGCACAGACGCATTAGCGCTCCTCGACGATTGTTAGTATGTATGCTTACGTGTGAATCGTAAACATTTTAACGGACGTCATTGCGTGATAATTGATATAATGTGATGTCTTGTTCTTCTACTTTTAGTAATGGCGTTCTCTCATTGTATGATCATAATGTGGACTTCTGTTATTTGGATTGCTGCTCATATGTTTTATGTGAAATGACAGAAAATAGCAAACCCGTATATTCAATTTTAATTAAAGCGCTGCGCAAACACTTTTTCTGTTCAGTGTTTGTCTGTCACTTAACACATGCCGATGGTCAATGAAGACGTGTTCGGCGTAGGCCCCAATTGAAAGCTCGTCGTCAGTTGAAGCCGCAAGAGATATAAACAAATATTGTACGACGCTACGCAACTGTTGCCGAGTTCGATACATTGCTACCATTAATAACTTAGCAACTACACATCTGGAATTAGTTCCAACTTATACGAATACTAACAACGAAAATGTATTGCGGTAAATTGAAAAGTTAAAAGTTTAAGTATCTCTACAGTAATAATATTTCATAAAGCATGATCATCACCATTGTTATACACAGACATTGCATCCGTATCCACCATAGTCTTCGGATTGAGCTCTGAAAGATTCAAATTCAATGTCATTTAATCAGTCTAGGTTGTTTGTTACAAACACTTGTGAATGACGGAACTCTATGCCATCGGTTCCCGTATTCACATCGGGAGAGCTTGTACTGAGAAGAACCGGCAAGAAACTTAGCAAGGGCTGCTTCTCTCTGTATTATTTTATACAGAGAAGTCAATGAATGTGTTGTCGATAAGTACTTCATCGATTATCATGCATAGGCATACATAATCACTTGTTTCGGTCTCTGATCAACGTTTTTCATCTATATCTTATTTCGAAAGTAAATATAATCTCGAACTACGCCGACAACAATTTGACAGCTTTTATTCTAAAATACTTCTCCTACACGATCGAGGCAAAGAATAAAAGTACTCCTAGTTACAATTCTGAATACTCGGGTACAGATTATAATTTTTTTTTTAATTATAAATATTAAATTTATTTGCCCAATCTGTTGGTGGTTCATCGACATGCCATTATTTGTACCATGTTGCGCAAGACTATTAAAGTAACTGGATTATAATAATATACATCGTTAGGCGCACAACTTCGAGCGTGGGTGTGTCAACTCACCAAAGGAAACGTAGGCTTACCCATTATCGTACAACTAACATAATACTGTTCTGTATATACATGTAATACACTATGTATTCTGTCGTATAATTGTATCATACCTACCTACAAAATGATTAAATAAATAAGTGATAAACATCCGAGCAGTATCAAAATGTAGAGTATATGTATATCATGTAGAGTATTAACTTGAGATCCTCTTCAGGGAAATTCTAAAAACGCAACTCGGTAGGAATATATCAAATGATATTTAAAATAAATATTGGGATATCGGTGGGACTCGTCTTAGTAATCATCTTTTTGAATCTTTAAACAGGTCAAAAAAAATCTTTGACCAATAGTAGCCATTTTGAATCGTTCCGAGTGGATAAAAAACAATTATAATCTCGCGTATATGGAGGATAACATTCGTACATCAGTTTTCATAAATAAAATTTAATAACGCAACAAATTTAAACATTGGAGTGATTCATTGAATCCTGTCGGCAACACCCGAGCGAACTCCGCATATCATTCCCATAATGGACTTCACTGGGGTGACAACGATATCGACCGATTTAGATTGACGTGGCGGATGCAAACGGTTCACTTCTGCATAATCCTGTATGCAGATTTATTTCATATTATTTCGTTTGTATATGTGGAGAGATAATATAATCTTCACGTTCAAACATTACAATCGAATTTAACAGTTGGAACACAATATTGTAATTGTTTACAATCAATTCAATACAGATCTCTTCGTTGTTTGAACTTCGTTTGCAGTATTCGTTAGCACAATAACCGTTGGAAAGGTGTTACATGTCTCGTGTTGTTAGCTCTTCCACTTGAAGCGGTCGTGTCGTTTATGACGTTCCTGGATTATTTCCATTAATATAGCTCTATATACATGGTATTGGATCAGCAGTCGATCTTAACGTAATATGCTTGTTATTATATTCTCGTACACATAATGTGTGCCGGTAGACTGGTGGGCGCATGTATAATTGCGGTGTATCGTTGAACGCTCACCTTGGCCGCGGCTCGAGCAAGGCCAAGGTCGCTAAAGCGATACGCCTCCCTCCTCTCCCCCTCCCCCCCTACGCCACTGTACGCGCACGTTTTTTGCAGGGTGATGTAATCTGCAATTCGGCGCGCGCGCAACATGGCCGCCTCGTCACACTTGGCTGATCACAACATCTTTCAAAAACCTGATAGCTAGCAAAAATCAAACAAACGAACGGAACATGTATTCGGAAGACATTATTTTTTTTATATTCGTTTTATTAATGAATTTATGAGGTTTAAAATTTCACGAATACCTGTGACATGAAGTTCACATAGACATTACGAAGTACGAAGATTGCTATTTCATGCTAATAACTCCGGCTATACACTGAGCACTACCTGGAATTTATCTCGTTCGTGTGTTCGCTGCCATTAGGTAAATGTTACATTTGCGGTTTTTAGTATCTAATTACACTTAATTTTAAAATACAAATTTCCCGAAGATGCACGTTCAGCAGCTACTATTTATTTGTCTACTTTGGTTAATATGAGTTTAAAAAATTTCGTTACGTACCAGCCCTATGCGGGAAAGGGTCTGAGCCTCTGCAGAGTGGACATAAAAAGGGCTGATGATGATGATCATGATAATGACGATTAGAAAGTCTAATGTATACAAATGCAAAACATAATTACATGAACATACCTATACAAATTCGAGTAATACAGGTTATTTTTAAAAATATGGAATGTTAATTAGAATGTTAATTACCTTTGATAGTAACGACACCTAATCAAAAGATATCTATAAAATTTGTATATAAATGATGTAGCAGCCAATAAATGTTTTCTCCAAAGAAGACGTAACCGTTTGTCATATCCAGCGGATGCGTAGAGACGTGATCCTACCGCAGGCAGTAAAACCACAAGAAGCTAGTTTCTAAGTACTTAAACACTCGTTACACAAACAATTAAACTGGAATGTAGAATCTGTAACATTGTTGCTCGCACGCAGCATTATAGTTTGCGGTGGCGTCCAATGAGCGAGGGTATCGATCGGTAACAGCAGACTGTGTTAGACCACAGAGAAAACTCAACACCACCTAAGCTTTGTGACGTCACAATAGAATCAGTGAACATACGAGAGACTACTACAATTAATACACCAGTTCACGATTATAGATCATATTCCTAAAATCAATGGTACCTCTAGTAAAAATAACTTCATAGACTTGTTGTGAGGTAACACATGTGAGTGAGAACTTTGATGTTTCAGAGTATATAAATTCTATATATACTTATAATAAAATAGTGTCTACCCACCATGTCTGTCTGAGCATTATAAATTTAAAACTACCAAACGGATTTTCACTTATAAACGGAGTAATAAGGTAGTTTCGGTAGTGAAAAAATTAGTCACGAAATAGCTCAAAAACTAAAATCTTTTGAGTCTTAAAATCGCACGATTATCATAGTATCTTAAAAGTTGCGATTTTTCGTCTGTCACATGACTTAGAACACGACCCGCCATTGTGTTTAGTCACTGTGGCGAAAGCTATCCGATTAGTCCTATAATTATATATACCTATTAATTATAAATGAAATCCTAGATGGCGCTTTTCTTAGCTTTTTTATATGTTTTTATTTCATAATCGATCGTTAGATGGCGCTGTTATTGTTTTATTGACATCTTTTATTGTTCTACTCTGTGCATCTGTTTTGTCCATATCACAATGACGTCATAAATATGACGGACAGCGTTTACGCGGTTATAAAGCCAAGAATCAAGAAGTTGCTAAAGTCAGAATAAATAATGAGGATCTTTTTATTAATATAGATTATTGCACATAATAAGAATCTCAGGGGGGTCACTTGTTTATCCAACAGCGTAGTCACGTTATGTTAATAAAAAGATATATGAAATTACGAATGTAAAATTCAATAAAGTTTATCACATAATTTAAAGAAACACAAATTCTTTTGAATGGCGACTTTAAAGCTTAACAGCGCCTTCTCGTAGGGAACCGACAATGGTAATAGATAATTATATGTTATAAAAAGTGGGGAACTTTGTATGATACATATATAATCCATAACAATATAACGAACGAAAACGAAGCTCCTGTTTGTCTCTTTCAGGCTACGGCCAAATAAATCACTAAACCGATTTTGATGTAATTTCATATTATAAAAGTTTGAAGTAAGTGGAAGAACATTGCCTACCGTTGAGGTTGTGTGAGCATTTCAGGTAAAAAAGACATTATGTTTTAACGATATTCAGATAGATCTATATGAAAAATGCCTAAAAATCTTTACTACTTACTTTACTACTTAGTCCCATGCATATTATATCTATACGATGATGGCAACGCGCGTTTAGCTGTAGGTAATTCGTCATGTAACTAGTATATTTCCTACCAGATATATATATACCACCGGCCACGTTGCTTTATTTCAGAGTGCTCATATACATTGCCTTTACTAGTGAGCTAATAATACAGCAGTAAGTTATCCAAAGTAAACATTTTATGAAGATCGTTAGCAAAACCGGCACAACAACCACCGAAATATGTGAAATGCACATCTGAGAATCTCTCTCTGACTTCTTTAAGTGATCACCAAAATATATATCTACCGTTTTATTTTTATGGCATAGGGTGCAGACGGAGCACCTGATGGTGAGTGATTACCTACCTATAAGAAATACATACTTATACCTATAATACCTCTTATAGAACATCACATGCATTGCTCAGATTGCAAGATGAACAGTGAAAGCCCTCGCGTCATGGAGTATCTGAGAAAACGAAGGTACCTGAGGCAATATAGAAAAGTCCATTTTCTAGATTGATCCAAACAGGAATCGAAGCGGGGACCTCAGAGCGTGCGAAACACTCGACTACAGAAATCGTCGTCACGGAGGGGGTGATCATGGCCTGCATTGTTTCTCACTTCGCCATATTGCTAATAAGAGATTTTTTAAACTTTGAAGATGATGAAATTCAGTGCTATCCATTCAGATGAGGGTCGTATGATACCTATACATTATGTTATTACTTGACCATGGCATTTTTATTCAATTCTACATACACAATACAAATAGTACCTTCCTGTAAGCGGTGCCAACTAATAGCACAAGTCGCCAAAAAGATTTAAAAAAACCTTGGTACAGAGGTGACTACATTGTTTCCTTTCTCTTAATTTATACGATCGAATTGTGCCAAACGGCGATAGCTCAAACTTCACTAGTAGATAACAAAACAGCATCTATGAAGGTATTTCATTTCCTGCTACGAGCAAAGTAGAATGTTTGCCTCCGTTCTGACAGCAAATCAAATAACAACAGATTGGAGGTCGGGAGCATTTGATTTTTATACATTAGATCAAATTCAAATAGAATATATCCTTATGACTCGGTCGGGCGTTTGTTGAAGAGTGCTAGTACCTGGCAACATCCTTGCCATAGAAATGATTACCTATTTCACTTTTATTGTTATTTTCAGCACTTGAAGTGTAAGGATTGTGAATGTGAACAAATATGACTGAATTCCGACTGATGATTCTTCACTTGAATATAGGAATAAATTGAAACGTCAGACATTTAGTTTTAGCACCAGCACAATTGTAATGTCAACATGTATCATTAAAATTTAATCAGGTAAATTTTATTATGCTATAGATAGAGTGTAATTTGTAGGCAACGATCTGTCGAGCACAATCGTACGCACCTTTTACTACACACCGGTAGTATAGTACACGCGTGTGCGATCGTACGCTAGTCAGGCCAGCCAATCATCGGGCTCTCGCTGCCAAAACACAACTACGAGCCAGCATTACAAACTTGTACTAAAATAACCGTCCAATGGTATCTTACTGGTTTAAAATCAATATTAAAACTCCATTCTGTTTTTCCTATATTTGTAAACACTTCAAAAATATTGTGTTCGAAAGATTTTCATCTATAATACATGTATTTCAGTTACAAATAAGGAAATAGTATTGATCATCCATCTATTGTGATTATGATATTTACTCGTGCATATCGAAGCTATAAAAATGTGGCACCACCGCTGCATATTGAAAAACTAGATTAATTTCTCCGGCACATTTCAATGTGCAAACACTGAATGTAAACTGTCAAAAAAGCTAAAGGTTGAATACCTCATGCGTGTAGACGTTGCATTTAACAAGCAAAAGAAATAGAATGCAAGAGACGCTCTGGAAGACGTAAAACAATCGTTGCTTCGGAACGAATAAAAAAATGTCTGAAATCAAAAGTACCTAGCAATTGTTCACTTTGGCAAAAGAACGGTAGGAATTTGTATGCTGCTGCCGAGGAGAGACAAGAAAACATACTTGAGAATATATTATAGATATGACTGTAGAATATTTACCAAAACATGGATATGTGTAGTATTTATGTGGTTATAATAAATAATATTATCGTTAATTACGTAATTATTTAACGTAACGTACACATCGACGATGTTGTTTAACAAAATTAAATAAATACAATGTTGAATATTTGGATGAGCTTATTATTTAGATACGTACAGTCAACAGTAGGTCAGATTAAAAGAACTCTAATTTCCCCATTCGATTTTAAACTTTAATAAATTGATGGTAGGAGGTCATAATCCATTGTAGAAGTTTGACATATTGTGGTAACCTGACGGGCAGCCGTAAATACTGGTGTAATGCCTGCTTAATTATATATTTCGTAATAATTAAAATGAAATCTACTCACTTATATCAGTGACGTCGTTCCACTTCATGATGACGTCCGTGCAAAAATCACCTGAAAATAAAATGAAATCATATTTATTTTGTCTTTGGTCTACCGAATGTTATGTCCGCGTCTTATGTTACTCAATGTCTTATATAAGCTTTATACTGATTTATACATGTTTACGTTACGCTAACTCCAAATTAAATTAGTGATAATTATATCGAAAATTGTATAATAATCTACCCATAAACATATCGAGATGTTATGGATAATTCTTTAAAAATATCACTACGTGTAAACTGTTCAGTGCGCGTTACTTCGTTATTGAATATTGCATTGCAAAAATTAGCACATAATGATATTTTTTACGGCTTCGAGAGTGGGAACTTTTGTGACGCTCCTTTAATTAAAGTGGTACATAATGGCGAAGATTGTCAGAAAAAAAGCATTAATATACGTATACAATGAGCGATGGATGGCTCGCTGGCTGTGTGCGCACACGCCATGCGCTATTGTTGTGCACGCAAGCTGACGCACACGAGACTGATCGATCATAAAAGTGAGTTACCTATAAAAAATTTAAGTAATTTTACATTCCAATCAACAAAATTTTCATCAGTCATGTAGCTTTAGTCCTGTGCAAAAAAATTAACGGAAACAATCAATCTCAATTTCATTCAAAGTAACGAGTAGGCGGGTTCTTTTATTTATTTATCTATTTTTATTTATTTATTATCAAGGTAAACAAACATATAAATAACAGTTTAAGATAACATCTAAAAACCATCGAGGTTTGAGTTGTGTAATCATAGTTTATCTACCACTGAACTAAGTTTACTGACACCACGAGTCCGCTCGATCACGCGTCCGTGTCTCATCAGCGAACGAAACTACCTGCACAAGTGCATTACACTAATTGGATTATCTGCCTCCGCAATGAATTTCAATACAAATAAACGTGCCGCGCCGGAAACGGTCAAACTTCTGAAACACAGAGAGACTGCGAAATTATATTTTCGTGATACTCTCCTTTTTATTTCCAAGCTTAGCATTTAAAAATAAAGTTATTTATTAGACTAGCTAGGTTGGAGTAGCCTAGATTTGACTGGACGAATTGTTCTAGTAGTTCGGCCGACGACCCCTCGGATGACTATTCAGTTCGCTAATTCGACTCAAATCAGCGTGGCAGCGTTTAATTTGTATATTTTGCGAATGTACCTCCCCCCCCCCTCCAAAGGTTCAGATTGAATTTGGCGAGTAATAACGATGTGAGCCCGCGTGAGCGGTCAACACCTCCGCCATCGCCGTCGCTGCCGCCTCTAGCGCACCAATTACTTCATTTGCTGATTGGTTTTAATCACCAACTAACCAAATAGGAAACCAATGTGATCGTTTAAAATTGGTCGCCATAGTTTAAATGGATTTGAAAACTGAGTGTTTCAACGAAAAAAGTCACAAAAATCATTTAAACTTCAAGTTTACGATGGTTCATCAGCTTAAAATAAAATCAACTAAGATCTAAGTTAATAAACAAATTATGAATGATTTAACAAGTTTATGAAGCTGCCCAAATGAAGAAATCTTCCACTTTGTTTCTTAAAGTGTTAGACGATTGGACCGATATAAATGGTTTTCCAATATACATCACACGTGCTGAAGAAATTCTTTGATCAAAAGTTCGAAATTAAAACTAGAGTCCGACACCATACGGTAGCGGATTCATTAAGCCGGTGACATGTAGCCCTGATGTCACTTCAGATGTTACCACATGTAATGTTTAAAATTCGGCTAGAAGAGTATGATGTTGTTTGTTTGATAGTATCGTGAGCGCGGCGCTGTAGTACGTGCGGGCGGCGGCACCGCGCTGGTGCTCGACCTGGATTCGGTTCAGAGGTGAACGGCCGATGCGACCGCCGCACGCACGCACCTCCGCTGCACTCCTTCTATCTACTCACAGTATTCCGCTCTATAATCTTCTAGCATAATCAAACCTGTCACTGCAACATCAAACCCCTAATTAAAGCCCAGTGGCGAGCATCAGCTTCTGAACGGTGAAATTGAAAGAAAATTTTACCGTAAGATTAGACTTATCACAGATGGAAGTATAAATCGTACTTTTGTTTTTAAGTGTAGTTTTCAAGTCAGTAGAATCTGTAATTGTCTTATTAAGCTATCGATAGGCCGTCCGCTATGGATCACACAACAACATACCTACATCCATTTTTGAAAAGTACCTACCTCATTTCAATCCTATGTTTTTAATAAATTAAAGTTTACAGAACAGTAATATAGCCTATTAGGTATTAATATTCGAATAAAAATAAATTAATAGTTGTTTTTCAAGAATAAAATATGAAAGGAGAGAGATCATTAAAATATATTAAAATTGATGACGAGAACCGTTGTATAAATTGTTTTTACGCGACATTATTATTATTATTCACTTCTTATATTCTGTTGAAAGTTCTACTAAAATATATCTCGACTGTACTGTTATTTATATTCCTACCTCCTGACAGGAAATAATTAATCCGACGAGTGCTTACCTACACTTTATTAAGATTGTATTATTTATTTGTGCGTTATCAATTGTATTATATTGTCACGTAACATATCTTATTAATTAAGATTATTGATAGCATTAGACAGTAAGACCTTTCTGTAAAACTTTACGTATGACGTCAATCGTGAACAGAAAAAAAGAAGCACATTTATTTTGGTCTTTCTTTCAGAAAAATAAAATTTAAAAAATTTGTAAATAAATATTTAAACTAAAGATTGCCCAAAATTGAATGGGACTTGGTTTCACCTCGTACGTAACGCGGTGTGCCTGTCATGTAACCTGCCTCGTTTTTAACCAACTTCAAAATCTAAGAAGAGGACCTTATAATTTTCGACGGCGACTTATGCTTTTTTTTTATTACTTCAAAGTTGCTTTTTAATTCCCCAGTTTAATGGATCGACGTAGTCCCATATGAATTTTATTGGAATCTTATCACAAGTTTCCTTTTTATAACAATACAAAGATATTTTTCCTTAGATATAATCGAAATAAATCGATGACATGTTTATATCAGCGAAAAAACAAGATAGCGTATTTTACGTTCATTCAAATTCAGAAAGGAGAAATTTCTTTGTTAAATGTATATGTAAATTTTTTATGTGAGTAGGTACGTTCATCGATTTCTTCATTAAATGTGAAGCAATTTCTATCAAACTAGCTGTATCCCCGCGACTTCGCTTGCGTAAATTATAACCTTGTCCCTCGCATATTATGTAGCTTTTTGAAGGAATTGTTAAAATCCATCCAATAGTTTCGGAGCCTATCTACAAACAAGCAATCAAATCTTTCCACATTATAATATGAGTATGTACTGAAAATAAAAATAAACAAAATCTCCTTTCTCACATGTTGACATATTTTTATATAGCTACTAGTGGCCGCCAGCGACTTCGACCGCGTTTTTCATTATTTCTTTGCTCCTGATAATTGCAGCGTGATGTTATAGCCTAAAGTCTTCCTCGATAAATGGTCTATTCAACACAAAAATAATTTTTCAATTCGAACCAGTATTTCCTGAGATTAGCGCGTTCAATCAAACAAACTCTTCAGCTTTATAATATTAGTATAGATTTAGTATTTTAAGTGTAACATAATTAAAGAAATTAAATCAATATCACTAAAAAGAATGAAAAATTTTTAGGTTATTAATTAAATGATAACCGTCCGACTTCAATAGCAGTTCCTTGAATAAGACGCTGTAAAAAAATGTATTATTTCTCACTATTTTTATTGTATCATTCAAAAGTGGGCAATCAATAAAAAAATGATCTCTATAATGTTGAAAGTTATTAGTACAAGTGGCCATTCTGGTGTATAACAACCAAACCAAATTTAGTTAATACTTAGTACTAATTGTTTTGCGAGTAATTATTAAACACACGAGTTTTTGACGCGCAACAACTATCTCATACGTATTAGTGAGGTATCAATGGACCCAATTATTTCGCTTCGTTTTCTCTTTGGCCTTTCATAGTCTTTAATAGGTTATTTTTCTGGAAGCATCAAATTTACATGGTTATCGGAATCTTTACCGTAATCAGAATATTTAATAAACTCTAAATGCTAATAATACTCATCATAAGCCAAATTTCTTCTACTCCTTGTGCTCGTATATCAATACCCTTGACGTACATACATACGCCATCCATCATTGATTATCATTTATCCTATTTTGATTTTAAAATAAGTTATATACATATACGTGTTTGTAAGTATTTTGACCAGATAGCGGTGAACGTGTCGGTATCGCAGCGGGCGATAAGAGCCCTATATAGGTTGCCGACCTCACCGTATCGCACAACAGCTGACTGCTAGCTTCCCCCCCCCCCCCCCCTCCAACGCGATCAGACGTCAGACCCCAAAAATAAGATCATCACCAATAGTTATCTTATAAATTATTTAACTATGCTGACTTTTTTAACGAAACTTACTTTTTAATTATTTCTGAGAAATGACATATTTAAAGGATTGAAAAATGTGAAAAAAATTAACTAACAAAACCGAAACTTAGACTTCTTATGGTTTTCCTAAAATTTTAAAATTTATCGTTTCGGATATACTTTTATAATAATAATAAATACACAACCCAAATTAAAATTACCACACATAAATCTTTACATAAAAACGTACGACTATTTCTCCCATGCAAACTTGCATTGGATGGAAAAACAAACATTAGATGGCAGATTGTGCATAAAACAACAATTGAAATCACACAAAACAAAACGGAATAACGGTTGCAACAGCGAAGTATTGCAAAAAAACGTACATAAAGACAAACAAAATACTCAAAACACAAGTGACAATGAGATTTGAAGAAGTTTAACGATTTCGTCCGTCTGATAGATTCAGGTAGAGGGTGCCACAGTTTTATCGCTTGTACTGTAAAGGATTGACTATAGAATTTAGTGAGATTGGGAGGAATGAATAATCGAAAGTTATTAGAAGAGAGATCATCGTAGATGAGTGAAATTTAAAGCGTGATTTGAGATACCCCCATATCTCA